CCCCCCCCCCCCCCCCCACTCGCTATGGGTCATGCCTACGCAAAACCTTGCCGAGGCAGCGAGGGGAAGAAAGGGTAGGTGGTGGGGAAGTCTGAACAGCGTGCTATGGACGTTGTTGGCAACAACCGTCGACGGGGGGATATTCCGGAACATACCCCGGAAGCAAGAAACGCCTCATCCTCTCTTACCTATCTCATTTGAGACCGACTTTGGAGATTGGTCAGCATATACATCAGAGCATCGGTCGCCCCGGTGGTCTAGTGGTATCCTCGTAATCCGCTAGTCGCAGAGGTCGTGAGTTCGGATCCCGATGGGGTAAAAAATTTACGACATGTGCGGGTGAAAGCGAACTGTAGCTGACAAGCTCTCGTGAGTACCAAACTTCGACGTTAGCATCATTGACGAGGGAAAGGGGCGGCAGGACCCTTCTCGCGATAAAAATAAAACTCAGCACGCACCGCAGGAGGAAGGTGGGGCATGACAAGAAAAAACAAAGAAGAAAAAAGCCCTGGTGTTTACCCCCCTCCCGTGTGACCCTGGATGGTTGTAGTTGTACGAAAAAACACACTGAAAAGTGAAGTACTTTTTTTTTTTTTCTTAATATGACACAACGAGTCCATCTCTATCATAGAGAAAAGAGTCAGAGACAGATTAACAATGGAATCATAGCGTCAGAGAAAACTACCTGTGTGTCTACGATTTCCCAGACAGCATATAGGGACATCTCCCCTGTGGGTAACAGGCTCAACAAATCAGTTTGGTAGCTGTCTTGTGTGTCGCATATATGTTATGTTGGGAAGGTGCAGACGAAAGGTGTTGGGTACTGTTGGGTAGTCGGGCGTTTTGTGTGTCGCACCCTATTAGTTCTAACACATGCAATCTCCATCAGTTTACAAACATATTCTCAGTTTGGTATGCATATGTGCGAAGTATGTGCGGCTGATGTGCCATCTCTATCATAGAAAAGTACTTTTTGGTTTTCGGTGACAGTTTTTTTTTCGGCGGGCAGTTTCTTTTTTCGGCGAAATATTTCGGAATTCGGCGTTTTCGGCAGTCGCCTGCGGGGGAAAAAGCCTATCCGCACCACGAAAAAACGAAAAAACCACGATCGCAACAGTGCGGCGGAACCTCAGCCAACATCACTGCCCATGCCACTAGCACCATCATGACGTTGTGCTATGTTCGAAGTAGCAGCTCTGGGTGGGGCATGAGAGCTGACTGCCCATGGCCGTCCTTACCCAACCACCGCTGTGTTTTTCCCGGTGTTGGTGTCTTTGGAAAATATACCCTTCACAGAATAGACATAGGACAGACGCGGAGATGCAGAGTGCAATCCCCAACTAAGTAACGGCCGGACTTGTAGTTGTATTATACTAAGCACAACTTCCAAAGTAGAAGGGAAGGTTTATTTCCGGTGGTGTGCAACAAAAGTAAGCTGCAGCGGGTCAAGCTCTCCCGGCAGTGCTGTGTATCGTTCTTTTTTTGGCCAGTGCTGGCTTCTCTGGTTGGCAACTTGTACGTGTGCAACGCCAAAATGCTAAAACGCGGTGAAATACACCTTGCAGATTGACAGCCCGCTGGCTTCCATGCACTGCATGCGCCTCCGGAGGTGGTGCGAAGCACATCGGCTGCCTGTGCTCATGCCTCACAGCGTGAAGCCACGCAAAGGGTGGATGGAACCAAAACACGACGCACCAGCAGGTCGTTGCAGTATATGACATGCATACTTTGGGATACTTCGAAGTAGTTTTGTTTCTGTCTGCAGCGTGACGAAGACAGGCTGAGAGGGTTGGACACACCAAAACGTGGTCTGCCGCACTCCGATCTGAGGGAGTGAGAACATCACCAACGAAACACACGGGCCATCAAAAAAAGGGAGCCCGCCAGTCCGCCGATGGAGAGAGGACACACACACATTCGGTAATCATGGGAGGGGTCGAACCAAGAAGCACACCGCACCGCACGAACGCGTCTGTCTGTCTTCCCATCCGTATAGACATGGTTGAAATATTACAGTTTACGGTCGGACTTTATTTCTCCTTCGGCCAGGAAACCACAGCCAGTCATCAGATACAATTAAAAAATTCCGACGCGCTACTTGCCAACGGAGACGCTGTAGGCACGTTCATCCGTGGGGTGCACTCAACACCGCAGGGTGTCCGCTATCTTTGCGTCTACTTACGCACGAGATACCCACATCCCAAGGGGAGCGTCATGGCGTAACTAAAAGTTGGCACACACGCGCGCACTCCGAACACACCTCTCTCTCTGGATCGCTCAAGGCACCAGCTTGTCCTCGCTTTTTGGCGCACAACCGCTCCTCCTCCTGATGAGCTAATGAGCTGATGAGAGGAAACCAACTCGCCCGTCTCCACAACCGCAGCCCCTGCTGCTGCTGCTGGCTGCTGCCGGCGTGCACGAGCCCCAGCAGACGCCAGAGATCCAGCTCCAGAGAGAGAGGGTAGAGGTTGCCCCGTGTCGATTGTTGGTGAATGATTGATGATGATTGTTAACCTATCTTACCTTTCATGCCTGTGGGGGGTACGCAAAAGGAAACGTACGCTGATAATTCCGTTCATCATTTCCTCTTTTTTTTTTTTCTCCCATCATTGGTCTCTGTCGTCGGTCCCTCTGGCCCCTATCCTCCACTTCTACCAGCTAGAAGACCCAACCGGGGTCACATAGGAGGCGGGGGTTGGACCCCCTCCTGCGGTCCCTGCCTGACATATCTTTATCGCGAGAAGGGTATAGCAATCCCTTCCCTCGCGACAGGTGAAGTTACGAGCTTTGCAGCGCGTCGCTTCCAACGGAGACCAGGATTTCATTTAGCGAGAAAAAACTCACCCTGTCGGGACTCGAACCCATGACCTGGCCCGTAGCAGGCTGCGAGGCTACCCACTAGACCAGCGGGGCGACCGGTCCATATGCCTCTGATACTTGATGTTTCTTCTCCCAAGGTGAAGTGGGTGGACCTACACATGAATGTGGCCATGGAGACAGGCTTGGTGTCCCGGTACCGAGCTACCACAGGTACTACATAATCGTCTAGTCTTCTCTTGAGCGCGCTCCGCACGTACCAACGACGTTGGTGTATTTACACCGCGCGCCCATGTAGGTGACACCGAGGCGTTTTTGTTTCGCGACAGTTGTAGTTGTGTCCTGGCTCTGACAGCAGCAGCGTATCAATATTGTCCAAGAAGATCTCTGGATCCGGCGCACCGCAGCTTCCGCGATCATAATACAACACCAGTCAATCAAGCAGTAGAGTGCACGTCCAACATCGTCCAGTAAAACCTGCACCATGATGAGCAACCTTCAAACATTTGGCGGTCCACCAACAACTGGAGTCCATTAGGAAGAAGGGGTAGTCAGGTTGTTGTTGTTGGGCGTTCGTTTCCTCCCCACACTTATATCGACGAAGACTAGACTACTAGTGCTCGTCGCAGTTTTACTGTGTTGTTGATGGCCGGCCGCCCCCGTGCTCTGCAATGGTATTAGTTAGCATAGTTGGGCTCTACCGTGCTCCCCTCAAGGGGCGGTTCTTGTTCTTATGATTCCACTCGAATTCGAACTGAGCACGCACCCGTTTTTGTGCGGGCGCCATCTGCAATTTACTGCCCCCCCCCGACGATTCCTTAGTAGCACCTGTTACGTGTTTTTCGCGAAAAGGAAGAGACTCCTTCTCGTCGATTGCTGTGTGAACGAAATAGATCGTTTTCCAACACTGATGATGAGGCCAAGTCATACATGTAAGATTGAACGAAGGAAATCTGGGGTTTGTGGCGCGGGATTGAATCGTGCAGTGAGAACGTAGGCAAGGAATTGCGGGGAAGTTCATCGGATGATTGGATGAGCACGGTGGTGGTGATGACGTATTAGAGTACAACTTCAGCAGCAGCAGCAAGAAGCAGAAAGAAGAGTGCACACCGCAGCTGCTCCTGTGAGACGAAGGGACGATCTGCCGTTGAGGTCATCGCGTGTGTGTTAGTTAAACGTCAGGGGTGAGCTTCGGCTAGGTGGTTGTCCGGAAAACCCTCCCGCCCTCCCTCCCGGGTTTTCATGAAGGGGCGACAACAGCAGTGCAGGCATGTTTGGAGGCGGCGGAGGCGGCGGGNGCTCCGGCATTCGGGGGTGGGGGAGGATTTGGGAGCGGCGGGGGACTTGGGGGCTAGGGCGGAGGGGGCGGAGGACGGGGTGGCCCCAACTAGGGGTGCGGGCTCCGCGCGCATGCGGGGCCAACAGTGAAACCGGGGGACGATTGGGTGTGGAAAGGAGGGAGTTGGCATCCAAAATCGTGGATTACGGACGGAGAAGGGAGGTCCCGGTCCTTCGTGCACGCGGGAGTCCTGCTGCCGAAGTCCGTTTCGCTGGAGGAGGTGATGATGGGTGAGTGGTTGATTGGGGCGTGGTCGAGATCGTGAGTGCATGGCATACGGTATGATCTTGTGGCTGGCGGCGGCCAAGGCGGGCTAATGGCATGTGTGCGAATGTGCGTGTTCATGTGCTTGCAATCACGGTCAAGGCAGGATGTCTGAATGGGTGTAGATATCGGGGTCTAAACAAAATGTTAAACATGCGATACTACAAACCGGAGGAACACCAACTCTAAACAAGTTAAAAATAATGAAAGAAAGAAATATAAATTAAATACGTAGACACAACAAGGAATCAATAAACAGAGGAAAGAACAAAGCAGAGACGACATGGAATCAAGTAGCCATGCATTTTAAGAAGTTCAGCGAGTGGAAGGGCGTAGGATGGAGGCACGGCTGGTTGGAGGCACGGCTGGTTGGAGGCACGGCCGGTACAATGGCAATTTTCAGCGGATATGGCATTCGCAGGAACATAAAATTAATATTGGATGGGTGGCATGGGATGGCAGTTACGTCCGCTGGTTCTCCGGAGGCCTCGCGTTCACCGAAACACACGCCGAGTAACAAGGTGGAGAGGCGGTGGTAGTGCATTCGTACGTTTCTCCGGGTACGTTACGCACACCGAAACATCAGCACGGGGCAAATGGGAGGCACGGCAGGTGAAGAACAATCATTGCAGCGGGCGTTTCGTTGGCCGCAACCTATTGGTGATTAATGGATGAGTGGCAGGTCAAGGCAGTCGCGATCGCGACAGTGGAGGGACTTCACGTTCGTCGGACACACGCGGGGAGTGGCAGGACGGCAGGGGCATGGCAGTACGTTCCTATGTTTCCCAGGGCACACCCAATGAACCGAAATCTATGGAATGATACACGATATGGCATGGTTGGATGGCAAGGAAGGTCAACGGTAGGATCGTTGGCGTGTGTTTCGGCGGACGTCGCGTTCGCCGCAATGTGATGTGTATCGAAACAAGATTACACTTACGACGGCAGAACGGCACATTTGAGATTGCGAAGAGCGGTTGTATAACTCAGTACGTGTGCCTTTTTCGCAAAAATATTACCAGGCACTCATGGGTGGCGAGGTAACCTTCGCCGATTGTGGTTTCAGCTGCGTCACCAACTCGATGACGTCTTACTCGGATCAAGGGAAGCAACAGATGGCGCGATTCTGATGCATAGGTTGGCACATGCGGCAACCGAGCTGGCGGTGCGTTTCGACGACCATGAGGGTCGCGTCGCGCGTTTACTCGGAGGGGAAATCACGGCAAAACACAGAGATCCCTTGGTGATTGCAAGTGATTTTGGATTTAAAGGATTTGCGGACATGCAGAGGCTGATGAAGGCAGTGTACGAAGGGGTGCCGGTTTGTGTGGTTCCTGGCGGCGATTTGGATGCCGCGCTCCAATACGGCAATCACTCTAGCGCGTCCCCTCATCAACGGACGTTGTGGAAAAGACTCGTTGCACACTTGTTGCACGGTCAGGTGGTGGTGCTGAACAAAACGGCGGCTCGAGCGATCAAGCATTTGCGCGTTTCTCCGCTAGCGGTGGTCTTATCGAAAGACAAAAATCGGGTGATCCTTGACTTGCCATTTGGTGCGGGTGGTGATGGCAAAGGCTGGCAAGGAGGCGACACGTGTTTCGAAAAGGCACCCGTCAGCGAAATCGGCGGGGTGTTGCCGCGCATTATGAGACAGGCTTGTGCTTTGCGGGAAGCGAACGGCGGTAATGTTTCTATTTATTGTGCAAAGATGGACGTGGCAGATGCCTTCCGTCGGATTCATCTTGAGTGGGACAAGGCACCAGTTTTCTCGTACGTCGTGGACGAACTTCTGGTGTTAGACTTTCGGATGGCATTTGGTTGGAAGAACTCTCCTGGGTGGTGGTCCTTGATGGCATCGGCGATTGTGCACTCGCACAGGCACACGAACCGTTTCAACGTTGAAGAGTTGCCGGAGGCAGACGAAATAGCGCGCAATGTGCAGGTTAAGGCGTCACCGCCGGGGGAGCCGGCCGTTCGTGCACCGGCGGGTGTTTCTATCGCGCCGTTTTCCAAGAGGTCAGGTTGGGGACGACAGGTGGGATGGCATGTTCGGAGATCTTGCGGTCTTACTCTCGACCGTCGGAGTTGCTCCGTCGACTCACACCACTTATTCAGCGGCGTGGACACTGTGGAGAGAATGGAGAACGGTCGCGGTGCGTAAAAGTGTCTATTTGGATGCAGCGGGGGGGGAAGTATTGTCGGCAATCGAGTTGGCGAAGTACATGGCGTACCTGTTTTCTGTCTGGGGAATAAAATGTTCACGATCGCGGGGAAGTTAGTCGCGGTGAAGTACTTCCACAAACGCATCGGGGTCGACCTCCAAATGAAACGTCAATTTTTTCGGGCTGTCAAAGCCGGTTTGGCGAGAGAGAGCAAGCTGAATATCGATGGTAGGACGCGACGCCCCATTTCTTGGACCATTCTTCGCAGCGGCATTTGCACGGCGGCGGATGGGGCGAGGGCGGGCGGGTGATGTGACTAGCCGTTGCGGTGTCCTATCTTTTTGTGTGCCGCCCATCGAAAATCCTCGCGTATTGCAACGGCAAGATTTGCAAGGAGTTCGCGATTACGCGCGGCAATGTGGCGTTTTGGAAAGGGGAGGTGCAACTCCTTACTCCGGCATTGTGGCGGTGTGCGGATAGAGTAGACTTACTATTCGAGGCGTCAAAGGTAAATCATGACGAAGCAGTGGTGTTGCGTGTTAAGATGTGCCCGGGGTTCGCTAAGTTCGACTGGGAGTGGGACAGGACCGGTGATGTACCGGTGGGGATGGTGGGTACAGGCGGGTTCGAAGTTTTTGCTGGAATTGATGTGCTGCTATCCGCAGCTCGATGAGATGGCACCCATTGCTGCTTACCCTTTTGGTAAGGTTTGGAAGGTTTAGACGTGTGCTCAATCGCCAATGACAGCTTTGCGCGCTCTCGTGGCTGGTCAAGGATTGAAACCGGAAGAGTGCGCACCGCATTCCGGCAGGATGGGGGGCGCGACTAGGTTGGGGGCGAGGGGGTTGTCTTCGTGGGCAATTTAACAGCAAGGGAGGTGGAAGTCAGACGTGTTTCAGTCGTAGTTGCGGGCCAATTGGAATGATGTTCAGAAGGCGTCCTTTGCGCTAGCGTCGAACGCTGTAGGGAAGGGGATCCAGCCCGGGCAAATGACGCGGTGGAAGGGTGCACGATATAAGCCGAAGTAGTGTTTCGGGATTTGTTTTTATATTTATGTCATTTGGTCTGTTACGAGGTTATGCTGTACGTGGTCAATTTTTCTTTTTCGGAGTCTAAGCGGTGTGCTATTAATCGCTCTTGATGTGCGAGGCAACAACACATGGTCATGGTGGATGACAAGGTGGGGATGGGGGGAGCGAGAGGAAGTCTGAAGGGGGAGGTATGGGGGAGGGGTGGGGTATGGTGAAGGGAAGGAAGAAATTGGAGGTGGGGCGCAGACGCATGGGAAAGGGGAAAAGCAGGCTGTTATAGTGGGCTAGCGAGATGAGGTGTGACAGGCTGCCTAGGTTTACGTCTGTGTGTGATGTAGACCATGTATGAGGAACCCGGGCAAGATTTGGCGTGGGGTAAGCCCGTGTGACGTGATGAAGTCGTGGGGGTCCACGACTCAACAATAATAATAACTCCAGACTAATGAGCATAACAAGGTCGTGATTATTTCGGTATTTTTTTTGCGGGGGGGTCCTTTTCTCAGCCCAAGTAATTATTTGAGCGTCTTGCGCGGAGGAATTCGGCCGATTCCGAACGCCCAATTCCAAATTCCAAATCGCCGAATGTTTCCTAGGATCCCAGCTGCCGCGTTGGAACATAGAGCCGTTTTTTTTTTCCCTGCTGGATGTGTGACCAGTCAAAGCGCACGCCAGAGAGAGGCTTTACGCGGTCGACATCCACAAACTGCAGCCAGTGGCGTGTGATCATATACATACCCTCTGCTCGCGTCCCAAAAACAGATCGTATTGTCCGGTTTCAATTGTACACGGCCTATAAACGTAAACCGAAGTGTGTTGCGGTGTTGACTTTTTTGGACGTTGCCTTTTTTCCTGGTTGCTCCGAGCGTGATCAGTCCACAACGCATGCCAGAGAGAGGTCTTTGGCCGACGACATCCACAAACTGCAGGCACTGGCGTGCCGATTATACACATGCCCTCTGGAGGCGACCAAAAAGCAGGGCAATCGGTATCTGGTCCCACACGAGCCAAAACCGTGAACTGAAGCATGATGTGACCCACAAAGACTTGAATCCACCCCTTTTTTCCCCTGGGAAAAAAACCTGTCTCGAGGAACCGTAAGGTCTTGTGGACCCAGAAAATTCCCCTCCCCACCTTTCCACCCCTTTGTCATCGGGGTTGGGTTTTCGTCGCTTGGCAACGACGTTGTAAAACAAGCCAATTCACTTCGTGAACTCGGCAACCAGGTTACCGTGTTTGTTTTTTCCTCCGTTATTTTATTTGGCGGTACCCATAATGGTGGTCGGGTAGATGATGTTGTGCGCGGTGGAGAACCCTCACTCCGCGCAAGGGGAATGATCGTACCACGTTGTGTTAAGATAGTCAAGCATCCTCGAGGCGATTACACAGTGCTCATAACTGTCTCTGGAAGTAAAAGCACCAGAAATTAAATTAAGTCATACGCAGCTGTCATCCGTACGCAAGGAAGTAAGCACAAGATGCCGAAAACCCTTAGCAGGATGCAGCGCACCCTTCATGCGACTCGCCGAATATCTCACGGCGCTTCGCGCTTGGTGATGTGAGAGCCTGGTCCGGTGAGAACCCGGCGTGCTCCGTCCCGGCTTTGTAGGGATGCGAGGTCAATGGTCTAACGACTACGGCATGCACGACTATGAGTACACCCCCCCCTCGACCGAGAGCAACAAAAAATCTCTGAAATAATTACGACGTAAAGACTGGGCCTCACTGCAAATTGCACGAGGCAGAGAGAGAGAGTCGACCCCAACAACCTGCCACTTGTTGTGTAGCATGGTTTCGAGGTCAATCACTACCACCACGTTGCAAATTGACTGATAGATACGGAGTAGATCGATCACCCTTTTTCTCGTTGGTTTCACCCCATGTAGGATGTCGGTCCATTGACTACACCGTTCGGTATGTAACAAGCTATGACAACCATTGGGAACAAATGAGAGCATACAGTATGAGGGATACCGCGCCAAATAATCCTGAAGAACCTATCATTATGCATCAGCAAACGCGACAGGAGTGCAACATGCTACACACAAAAAGAAAAGCGTTTGCAACAAAAGTGCGCCGCTCAAACATGACAACACATTCATTCATCTACTTTTGCACGGGGGGCTTTCACTCGAGATTCTTTTGTACTCGCTGGTACTGGCTACAACTTCCGCTTGCCAACCGACTACACCAACAACACCAAACGGCTTTCCCAATTGAAATAGGAACGATGCTAGATTTATCAGGCACCGTACCAGCTGTAATCCACCGACGCTGCCAAACATTTAGAACTGTAGTCCGCGGCTGGCGTCTGCGCGGCTCGAAATCATTAACACCGTCAACATACTCCTCTACGTGTTACAATCGTGTTATGTTGCGTGGACAGACACGTCTCCGGCGTATCCCCCCGACAAAAACAAATCGTTTCACTATCCAAAACGCAAACGCCTAAACCAATCAAAGCGACGTAGCTCCTCAAACCGACTGAAAATGTCTACTGACACCCATTTTTCCCGACAAATCATACTCACCGCAGCACACGTCAGCACCAGTACGGCGGCGTCGGACTACCAACAGGGCGCTCACGTCCAACTACTCGTCTTCGTGCTCCTCCGCTTCCTGCCTTCAACATTCAAATTGAAACACATTCGTTCACTTCAGTGACAGATGTTCGTGCTAGAACCACACCCCTTGCACCCCCTGGCGCTACGCATCTCCTGCCCTCTCCTGACACGCTCGCTAGTACTCTCGTTTCGGGTGCTTGCTCCAGCTGCTCCCGCCCGGGCCCCAGCTCCGACGCCCCGCCTCCATGGACCCACAGTCAGAAATACTCAACCCGTTGTCGACGTCCCTCGTCCAGCTTGTGCCACCCCCGCCTGCTGCGCGCCCTCGCCCTCCGCCGGCCCCGACCCGTTCCTGATCGGGTCTGCGAACCGCACCCAGTCTGGACTCTCATCCGTGGACAAGGATGAGAGCGTTTCCCGTGCCTCAACGCCCATCTCTCTCGAGATCCGGTCGCCGCCGGTGGTAGTTTCTCCGCGGACGCCGTTCTCGCCGTCCCGGATCGCCAACATGCTGGCGTCTGCCGCCGGTCGGAGCCCAATCGGTTGCTCGTGTGTGCCCCGCTCTCGCGAGTGGTGTTTTTCCTCTGCCCGTCGAACCCGTGACAATGGCGGCTGCCGCGGTTCGCTCGTGGCGGAATCAACGGCGCCGCTTCCAGGTTTCGCCGGGGGGCCCGCGGGTCTGCCCTCTGCTTCCGCGATTTCAACTCCCCGGGGCACCTCCTCCACCGCTCAAGTTGTCGCGTCTCCGGTGGCACTAGGGATTGACACAAGAACGCGTCACCCCGCGAAGCGGATGCTCCTGTGACTGCCTTCTCGCTACGCTCCCGCGTCGTCTTCGCCCGTGGCTTCTGCCGGCGGAACAACCCCAGGTTTGCCGCCAATACCCATAACACAAAGCCCGTGTACTGCTTCTCAACCGCCGCCTTCGCTGCCGCCCCATCCTCTGCTTTCATGCGCGGCGTCGACGGGGCTGGACCAAGATTCGATGTGAAACCGGCGTAGGTTGTTGGTGCTGGGCCAGTCATCTGAGCTCGCTAGCTCAAAGTTAGGGTAAGGGTTAGGGTTAGCTACTTCTCGCTGGCCCATGACGCCGACATCAAGACAAAAAATACCAACAAGGAGTCTTCCGCTGGGCTGCTAGCGCGAGGTGTGGGACCATGTCCGGCCAATGTGCATTCTCCTGCTGTTGCCGCTGCCTGTGTTGCCACGACCCTCTAGACCATGAGAACGATTGCCGCCGCATTATCCCACGGTGGCCTGCGGCCGCGCTTGCACAACCAGCACCATCGCGACCCACATCGTCAATCGCACGTGGCAAGAGAAATGGCGCGGGTCACACGGTTACGCCCTAACCGAAGTCATCGTCATTTTTCACCGCCTGCTCCGCCATTTCCTCGTACCAATACGCAGTGCTTTCACCACCAACACCGGCACCGTTGGTTTCCTCTAGGACCACGCGCCGCCCTGCCACCGCTACTGACAACGCATCCGCCTCCATCTTGCGCGCTAGGGCAAGCCCGGTATCCTCATCCTTTCCCTCTTCCTCAAAATCACCCCCACGAGTGACGAGGGCGACGGCGGCCCTCTTCCCTGCGACCGACCGACGGGGGCGAGCATCCCGGTGCTCCTCGCTGTCGGTGCCGTCGGCCACGAGGACCTCGGCCGAGACTCTCGCAGCCCTGCCGATGTACTTGCCCACGCTCCTCCTCGCCGTCCCGCGGCCCCGCGACTCGGAAGCGGCGGCCTTGGCGCTCCTCATCGGGCATGAGAGGCTCTTGAAGGCCGTCACGAGGATGGGGAGCGACGGGGACCGAAGCGGCGGAAGCTCATCGCGGACAGCAGTTACGGCGGCGGCGGCGGCGGTCGAGTTGTGCGGAGAGGACGAACGGGAAGTCCTTGCCGATACGCGTGATCCGGGCGTCGACAGCCTCCCCAGAGATAGCATGCCCCCCGAACGGAGGAGGCTCAGCTCCGCTGCTCCTTCTCGGAAGCATCCATGATACGGCGGAATCCTGCCGTCGTCAACAAGTCTCTGTGGAAGTTGGTCTGTATGCTTTGTGTCGTGTTGCGCAAGGGAGGGTGATTTCATTTAGAAGACGGTGCGTAGTGGTGGGAGTCGGGGTGATGCAGAATGTCCTCTTATGAGCAAATCTTCCTGACTTTAAGCTGAACATCGCAAGCATTGCGCGCCTGCGAAAGGCCGTTATATCGGCATGGTCAGTTAGAGCATCGACCAGATGAATACGGTCGGGGGATCGGGGATGGCTGAAAAGATGTGCAACCGCAGTCACGCATACACCGCCGGCAAATGTTGGCGCGACTCGATGGTGAATATCGGTCTCTTTTCAAGGGACAGTTTCTCATGCGAGCCGCCGGTGCAGCCAGCTGGTGGACTCTTAAACAGGAGAGAGACAGAGACGGTAGGCATTAGAGCAATCAAGCGGCGTGAGCGTGACACAAATTCGTTGCCGAGCCGTGTGTAAAAGGCTCGGGGCCACCACACAAATTGCATCAACACGCTGGTCATGTACGAACCTATCCTATCGTCCAAAAGCCGCCGCCAGGAGGAGGCTTGTGGATGCACGCACACGGACCGGCGCCCACACAAGATTTCCACGGTAAAGCTGTTCCTGGACATAGAAAACATGAAACGCTCAAGTAGACAAGCAAGCACTATTTTCTGTCTCAAGAGCGGTTCAATGTTTCCACGAGCGTGGTGGTGTTTGTCCATCACCTCCATGACCACCAAGACCTCCGCCCTCGCCTCGTCGAAGATGTCGATTGCAGTCACGTCCGTCGCGAGAATCTTCTCCCAGTATGCTCCCGATACGTTGACCTGAGGCGATTCCACACACGAGCAAAAAGCAACATGATGACTATCATGCCAACAAACCATACACGACGCTTGTCACACATGATTAGACGTCCTCAACAGAAATACGTCCTCAAACGCCGGTTGAGGCGCCACGGCCCTCACCGGTTGGTGTTGAGCATGGGTACCTTGTTATCAAGGACGGCCGATGAAGACGAGCAATCATTATTACGCATGAACAATGCTTGCCCTACAAGCATATGGGTCACATGTGGGTGTGTGTAGCACACCTGTGTACGCTACGCTCTCTGGGGGGCCCGCACTTGGACCCTCAACCGTACACATATCCCTAACTCACATAATGCCCAGATCGGGTATTATCGTACCCAAGCACCACAAACACACACCACCGCTTTTTCGGCCCACACTTAGAGAACGAGCCTCAGATCAAAACACGGACGAAAACCATGAAGAAACAACAGCTGCGGTGCTGGTCTGCGAACTGCAAAGGTGTCGGCGAGTACATATCGCCTTTCCCGCTCCTACTACCCCGCCGTCACAGGCCAGATATTTTTTGGGTTTCGCAGCTCCTACCTGGTCAATTGATCCCTCCCTGATGTACTGGTCCACGATGCGCATGGTGACCGCCTGAGCACAGAGCAAGGAGATTAGAAAGAAATACAAGAGAAGGAAAAGAAGAACGAACGAGCAAGAAGATGTTCACGTGAGAGGAGGATTGCTCCAAGTCCAAGTGAAGGAACCCCGCCGGAAACGCCGGTGCGTGCAGCTCTTCGACGTTGACGCAGCAGTCATTTTCCCGACAAGGTGTTGCTTGGAGATAAAGGTGGGAATGTCGCAAACCACTGCCTTGAAGATAGCAGGGAAAACGATGGAACTTATCATCAATAGACGACCTATCAATATCTCCGTCCCTCGTCTTCCGGCAAGTCAAGCTGGGACTGTTTTGTATTCTTCGTCGAGTGTGAAGAACAAACGAGCACCACCACTGCCCACAACTCGAGCGTAAGTATGACTCGATTCGACGCTGGCTGTTGCTCTTGCAACCGACGACATAAACAGCTTCGTCTTGGTGCCCAGACAGCTGCTTTTCTTTCCTTCTCGGCGCTTCCCTTCTAGGCCCTTACCCCATTCCAAAGCATTCTATTGTCTACATCTGTTACAATATTTGCGGCAAAGCTTGTGGGAACAAAATAAACACACACAAACCAACCAACCACCTCTTCGAGTGCTATCAATGCAACGTGCTTTTCGCGTTTGACTTCGAAGGGAAGAAGGGGGTTGAGTCTGAACGAGGAGGCGTGACAAGGGCGGAGTCTGTTCTCAAGGGGTGTTTTTCCGCGCCGAAACAGGGCCCAGTTTTGATTGACACTGAGAATAATAACGCAGATTCGTGGGACGTCTCACCCACTATCGAGACAAATATCGCCCGCCAAGCCAACCGTAACATCTCCACGTACCCAATCAACCCAGGTAGAATACATCATTCATTCCCAACGGCGCTAGGAGCGGTGCTGCGATCCCTTCCCCCCCTACCCCCTGGATTTGTACCAACCTGTCTCTCGAAGAAATCTGCCATCTCTTCCCGGTCTAGCGAGTCCAGGTTGAAGTCTATCAGTTCCTGGGCCACCTTGGTCTTGATGTACCGCCGGAACTCGTCCCGCAGCTGATCCACGGAAAGCTGTTCTGCCAGGCTGGCCTTCAGCTGAAAGTTTGGCAAAAATGAATCAAACAAAGAGACAGCCAGCCAGCCAGCCAGCCAGCCAACAGACAGACAGACAGACAGACAGACAGACAGACAGACAGACAGACAGACAGACAGACAGGCAGAGAGGTGCGTGAGAGGAATATACCTGTCAGGGAGCTCGGCACTGTTCACCAACTGTGGTAGCTCGTTGGGCAGCACTGTGTCGTGCCACGCCGGGAAGCCATGGCATCACATGGAGGCATTAGTAACAACAACAACAACGACAACAACAACAACAACAACAACAACAACAACAACAACAACAACAACAACAACAACAACAACAACAACAACAACAACAACAACAATAACAACGGCAACAACAACGACAGCAAGAACAACGACAACAAGACGTCAACAACGACGACGACGACGACGACGAAGGCAGCAACAGCAGTTGCGCCGCACCTGGGCCGGCGAAGGAAGCTGGGCAAACCCGTGTGTGTAGGACCCGAGGTACTCGTCATTTCCCAGAATCTTCTTCATGAACGGCTCGCGAATGGATACCCACAGGAGGATGTATGTCGTCATCACCGGATCTGGGCCACGATTGGCAACCCGTTGGTTCGTGGAGAATGGTGTTTGGGGGCGGTAGAGGTTGGGTGGCCATTGGTGGCCAACGTGTTCGATTCACGTCAGCGTTGAGACGGAAAGGGGGACGTGGGACAGCCACCGGCCTATCCCCTGAACAAGGGTCCTTCGGGATGGAACTCTTGGGGCTCCCTTTCGTCGTCTACGGCCACATATTCTTCTCTGACAAGGTATGATGGTTCTGTAGAATGCATGACTCTTGGTGCTTGCTCCCGAAAGGTGCGTGTGAAATGATTGAAACTCGCGGGGGATGCAGACTCCCAGTCGCCAAGGGATGCACAACTTTCGGCCCCGTTGTTTCAGGGACACACAAACCTGTCACCCCCTGACTGACGTGAATTCACCAAGAATGCAAAAATCGACATGGTGCCCCACCCTCACCCTCGCCCAACGATCAACACATATATCCAAGGGACTGTTTTTTTCCGATACTATCAGAACCGGAGGGACCAATGACCCAAAGTTGTCCATACGGGTTCGTTGTCGCTGCGCCACAAACGGAATAAGGACGTGGATAGCTTGCAGCTCGTGTGGGGTGTTGTTTCCTTGGAGAATCGGAGGAGCTGGGGTTTTGAAGAGAGAGAAGGGGGGGCTGCAGGAGGATCGTCGCGGAAACATGCACCCCCAATGTCATGAGATGCCGCGAAAGCCAGACAAGGAAATGAAAAATCTACTCACAGCCGAGGGCCGCTCGCCGCGACACTGTAACGTTATCTGCCAGCAGAAACAAGACGACCACGCCGTAGCTCGCCAGGGTAATGGTCATGTACAACAGCGTGCGCTTCATCGAGTCGTACTCGTTAAACTGCTTCCGGACCCACTTGAGCTGGCGGGCGCACACGAACCTGTTCGATCGACCATGCCACCCACACCGCATCATGGGTGGCGGAGGAATTGATCTCATCAAGCCTTGGGGCAGCAAGCACGGAACCGGCCCCAAACACTTCAACCCACCATACCCCGCTACCACCACAACCAAACAAACGCCAACAACCATAGCTTACAATTGCTTGTGAGTCTCTCCTACCCTCACCAAAGGTAGAAAATCATGAGAAACCCGAGCCCGTTCATCCCGAGGATGACAACGGTGGAGACAGACAAAGTGAAACATGCGTTCTCCACCTCGTCGAAGTCGCCTGTGTTGGGAATGGCCCACGCCGCCACCACGGGGATCAGGCTCAGGCTTGACATGGAGAGGATCTGATCGCTGTGCCGTTGCATAGAGAAGGAAATGTAGGACGCACAAAGGAGATGTCGCATGCGACGAGCGTCGAGGCGGCCGAACCTCTCCGATAACTGATACTCCTGTACTCGGGAGGCAAGAGTGTATTCAACAAGACACGTAAAGGCATTCGCTTCGGGGATGACACACGCGCAAAATTTGAGGTAGACGGTGGTGGTCGATCGGTCGGACTTCGTCGAAATCTCAACTGCTAAAGTTCTCGGCGTACACAACAAACAATAGGGCACCCTGTCAACAAGAAGTACTGCCTGCGCGCCGGGTTTTGATAGTCTTCCGAAAACACAGCAAGGGGGCAAACAGCACACGCTAGGGAAGAATTACCCTGTGCGTGAACACACAGGCATGTCCAGAAAACTGACGTGCGTGCCCCCTCCCTGCCCAACGCTCGAGGGTAACTACCAAACTACTCCATGTTTGTGCTCCCGATTGAACAGATGCCAAAGAGGACTGACTCGCACTGTGTGCCACATCTGGTCGTCGTGCTTGGTGAGGATCCTCCACATCCGGTACACCCGGAAGAAGAATGCCACCGTGTGGACGCACAGCGTCGACCACGCGAGAAAGCTCTGCGGAACCATCCACACCAGCAACGACGGCAACACGCAAACCACGAAAAGGGCAGCACGCAGGGAAAGGGTATCGACACTCACGGCAGTGGTGGAGGCAGCAGCAACAACTAGGGAAGAAGAATGGCAACGGTAAGGCGTGGGCTACAGGACGAACCCCCCATACGGTGTTCCATCATGCCACGATTAATGGAAGAGAACTTTTCACCGGTTCTCGGCCTTTCGCCACGGCTGCGCGACACGCTCTGAAGGTAACCAAAACACACTTGCAGCACCTAAAAAATGGAAGGCTGAAAGGGTGGCACAGCCTCAATGGTGAGGCATCCCCATCGAAATCGCACCCAAAATTTCACTGGAACCATGCCCTTACGTCCAAGCGGTCTGTGCGACAAGAATTTCAAGACACAGACCTACTGATCGAAAATCGGGGTGATTTTTGGGGGGGTGTACTCCTACTCATTGTCGTGCATGCCGTGGTCGTTAGACCATTGACCTCGCATCCCTACAAAGCCGGGACGGAGCATGCCGGGTTCTCACCGGACCAGGCTCTCACATCACCAAGCGCGAAACGCCGTGAGGTATTCGGCGAGTCGCACGAAGGGTGCGCTGCATCGTGCTAAGTAAGGGTGTTCGGCATCTTGTGCTTACTTCCTTGCATACGGATCACAGCTGCGTACGACTTAAATTAATTTCTTGTGCTTTCACTTCCAGAGACAATTATGAGCACTGTGTAGCTGCCCCGAGGATGCGTGACAATTTGAACACAACGTGGTGCGATCATCCCCCTTGCGCGGAGTGAGGATTGTCCACCCCGTACAACATGATCTACTCGACCACCATTATGGTTACCGCCAAAAAAAAACAGAGGTAAAAAAATAACGGTAACCTGGTTGCCGACTTCACGAATTGAATTGGCTTGTTTTACAACGTCGTTGCCAAGCGACGAAAACCCAGCCCCGATGGCAAACACCGGGGGGGTCATTTGGGGGGGGGGGACATATAACCATGTATCCCCGGGTTTTCGCCCGAGGCGTTGGCGTTTTGGCGTTAGGTTAGGGTTAGGGATCGCAGGGTTAGATCAAGTCAATTATAACCCTACAAGACCAAGGCTACGAGTAGATTTGCGAGACTATGTTCCCTGTTGCGCAGTGCGAGAAGCGGCAAAGGCAAGTTTGCAGCGAAGGTGGTTGTGTTGGATGGGTAGCTGAGCTGCTTCGCTCATTTCGAGCTTTGGCCGAATGTACTGTACTTTTGTAGGGATGGGGCGCTACCGTACGCATGTTCCTATCGCACGGCTGAGCGTGGGCCGGCTTCTGAGGAGCAGATTGATGCGGAAGGAGTAACGAGTACGAGGCATGTTTGCAATCCATCCAAACCTCATTGTAACTTTTCGACGATTCGTGGAAATTTTTCGAATTTCTTCACCCTCCGGGGAGAGGGGGGGTAGGGCCTATCTATGTGTCCGGATTCTTTTTTCGCACAGACCCTTGTTACGTCATATATTGATGAACACAACGAGGGGTAGTACAAACAAGAGTGTTTTTTTGTTTGCCTTCACTTCAAATCAGCGCTCACAGCACTTGTGACGTTTACTCCAACCGGTGGTCACACAGAAGGGTTCCTCTCCCTGAGCCCCCGCTACTCGCCCTCCTGCGGTGCCATATATCTTCCTTCGATGATCAAGGCGAGAAGAGTGCGGCACTCTCTTTCCTCTGTGTACACACGAACTAGCGCTTTCCACCCACCCCAGAAATGGAAGCGAGAGAAAAACTCACTTTGTAGTACGAGCTCCCTTAAGCATGGATGCGAACCCCTGACCCTGGTCACAAGAAGGTCTTCGAGGATACCAACTAGGCTACCGGGGCGACCGGCAAAGGTGTTAGTCATCTTATTTACGCAAAATACCCACCCGGACGTCAAAACCTAAGCAATTTCGAATATGTCGATATTCAAAACAAGGGTCTAGTCGTTGAAGCTGATGTACCTCAAAGCCGCAGTTTGCCAGAACGTCTCCTCTTTCCCGCCGGATGCATCCGGAGGAACTGGCCTTCGCGACATTCCATGGCACCCCTGATAATGTCTGCTTATGGAAAGAAGAGATTTCCCCCCCAGTAGGATCAAACCATCACGAGATGCGAGGTCATCAAAAGAGGACAAGAATAAAAGCCTACACAGCGGTTCAGTCACGGTGGAAGGCAAGCGACTACCACGACGTACATTAATGGGGCAAGACCAAACGGAAAAATGTTTCATGCACTGCACGACATCACCATCCGCAATAGTGACATGACAAGCGCAACATCTTCCACCTCCCCGCTTCCACTACCCAACATGGCATTGCCCGGTTATCTTCCACCACCGCCCGGGACCCCGCCCAACCCCAACCAAAAAGGTGCAACATCCACCGAGATGATGACAATGTCGACGTTCTTGCTGACGTAGGGAGGCCAATTGCGCCACCGTAATAGGTGCACGCACACCGAGAGATACCGTCTAGAAGGTGGCCACGAAACCGATGACCCAGAAATCCGAGGCTGAAAAGAGCTCCCATGTTTTCGAGACCTCGCCGTCCGCTCCAGCCCCGCCGTTGTCCACCGAGATGGACACTTTTCTCTTGCTTTGTCAGCTTTTGGACTTGTGTGAGAGGTACCTCACCCCTTTCTTCGTGCGTCACTGGTGTTTTGGCCGCGACTGTGCCGATCTAGATGTATCGCGAGACGCAACATGGAAAGGGGCATGAGGTACGGCGATACCGTGAGAAAGCGTTTGGCACTTGCAGGTGAAGCCCTACATCGCGTGCGAAATCATGCTACAGAGGTGTTGTGGGTCCTGTAGATGTGCGGGTAGCACACGCAGCACAGCATCACGCTGCATAGGATGGAAAGCAGGTGGCCGCTCGCTGTACAAAGGACGGCCAGACGAGGTAGGGCGCTTTTCCGGACAGCGTCACTACAAGGTAGGAGCCCCCCCGCAGCGCAAGGGCAGAGGAGGAGCAGGATACGACGCTCTACCCGCGTTGTCGGCAGGCGGAAAAGTTGAGCTCAGCGTCATGTTCATGCGAGTGAGCGCTCCGAGTGAAGACACCAAGTGCGGTCACATGTAATATCTGATGCAGCTCAAGACCTGGCCCGGAGCCACTCACGGCAGCACGCAAGCTTGCTCTCGGAGCGGGGATTTAGACCGGTGTTGTCGCTCCCCGATGGGTGGGATACTCCGATGGATCCGTTCGCTCGTATGGTTAATGGTAAAGTAGGATGGAGTATCTGTAGGCATGTGGATTGCGTAGAGAAGAAACGGGTAGCCCTTGATATAGGAACGAGAACCACCAAAGGATTTTGGACTCGATTTTGGATTCGACTACGTGGGGGTGGATCACAGAACAGCAGTGGAGGAACGATTTCGTGATCGATAGTCTACACATAAGACTAAGAACGGGTCTTGGGTTGAAGGCGGACGAAAGGCCAAGAGCGCCCTGTGCGTGAGTGTTTTTCTTGACGTGTCTTCGAACCGGATGCATGTCTATCGGCGATCAAATGAGGAAGGAGAACAAACCGAGAAAGTGTCCGCCGTGCTAAACTATTAACCATTTTGAAACTAGATCCTCGTTTGGGGACATCTGTTGTTCCCATTCTTCTTCGCATGTGATAGCCGGCGAAGCACGACATGACTGTCTCCAGCCTTCAATTGGGGGGTGCCGTACGCAAGAGCGCCGTAGTCTAGGGTGGGTGCTAGACGGGGGGAGTAGAAGGGTAAATGGCGGGGAGAATCGCGGGACGACAACTCAGGTTCATCAGCGAATTTTCGCAGCGATCATCTGTGCTTGTCCAAGGGCGCTGCTACAGTAGAGGCCAGTTCGAAAGAAACACTCCAAACAACGATGAAAGGAATCAACGGGTAACCTAGAGCTCGGACGTCGAGGTCTGGGGTTCTCTCTAGACGAACACGTTAAACAAGTCCTCTATTGCCCCGTTTCCGACGTTCCGGCCAATTTTTCCCTCCACCAACGGAAGGGGGGAATCGATATGGCTTGGACAAGGGGCGGCTTTCAGTAGGAAGGTTGCTTTTCCCATGAAGCTGGTCTGGGACTGTCCTTCATCAATTTTGGCGGGAATTTTGCTTCAACCTCGTTTCTCAGTCTATTCCAAACGAGTCAACAGCAGCATGCATCCGAGGTGCAAAAGGCGCACGCCCAATAATCCAGCCGAATCTTTGCACCTCTACTCCCTGGCATGCGCATTTTTTTTTTTGCATTTTATTTGGTGTAAATCACGTTTTGTGCGTGTGTATCAGGCGTGGTAAAATTTTGGCAGCAATTACTGCTGTCCTGTCCTGTAGCTTCCCCACAAACTATTGACGATTTAGAACAGTCTACGCGACACGTGCTTCTTCGGCGGCGCCCTATCCGTCCCCATATCGTTTCGAGGGCTTGCCGACGGCGCCGCGACCCGCACACGAGAAAAATAGGATTGCTCACGGCCGATACCGCTGTAGCGAGAACCCTGCTGACCGTACTACCCAAGGAACGAACGTGTAGTTCAAGATTTTGTTTGATATCTTTAACAAAAACAAGAGAAATAATCATATTCTCGGTTCGCTACACATTGTCTATCTTCTTCCGAGGAAAAGTCTTACCTCCACCGTCAAATGCCAAAAATCATTATCCACCTTGTCCCTTCGTACGGTCGATTGTTTTACCATTTCCTCTCAACCCGTGGCCGCTGGTTAGCTGGAGTGACACGTACGCCATCTCCGCCCTCTTCGAGAGCATCAAACGAGCTCGAACCACACATAAAATGCCGACCTTAAAGTCACCCTACGTCTTCGTCTATATATATTTCCATCACATTTGGTCGCCCGCTCATTGGATAGCGGGTGTCCAATCCTTGCCCGGGAGCAAAACATTTACCAGCATATTGCGGCGGAATAAACGTCCGCGGGAGGTGGCAGCGCTGTGTCCTGCACCTGTCGTTGACAAAAGCTAGGCTAGACACATGTATCTAGACACACAGCCTTCCCGGCTTAAAAGGGTGTGTGAAAATTCCGATCTGAATGTGTCATGTATTAGTTTTGTCTTGCTGGAGGATGACATTGACATTGCCGCGCAGAGGAAAGTGGAGTGTAGCCTATTACTGCTGTACAACTTTCAAAGATCAGAACAAAACGGTCTGCTTGCGCCTGGAGGCTGCTCTTGTCACAGTTAAGAAAATACCTGCCATGATGTCTAATGGATATTGTGGAAGTATTTCCCAGCATGTAAAAGCAGAGGCTGACGCCCACCTACGCGTGTACTCGAGTGCGAGAGCTCAGAGAACAACCACAAAAGTATCTATCTCGCTGAAGGTTTGGTGAAGTTGAAATTTTCAGGTAACAACGTACACAAGGCGCGGTCAAGATTCGGACAGATTCTACAGTACACAGTTACATCGACGGTAGAATAGCCACGGGGTGGTAATGATAGGAGATAGAAATGACGGACCCTCGTAACACAGAGTTATAACAACAAGAGTGAAGTTGATCACATCACGAGACACGAGACGAGCTACCAGGCTTCACGAGCAGAAATAATTCCTCCGCACATGCGTTCCAACTCAACCGACAAAGAAAGTACGTGCCCACTGCTCACTACTGGCATGTACATGGTCCAGAGCATGAGCAGCACAAGCCCCATCAGCTTTGATGAGTACATCAACACTTTCGCTCCAATAATTGCCCGTACAGCAGCAACAATGGTAGTATGGTGTAGTCGACAGCACTGCACACAGACTGTAGAAATATATGAAAAAATTATCTGATGTATGTAGCGATCGACAGCCAGCCGTAGACAGCAGTGACCACCTCCGACTCTCCACAAGTGTACAACTGAGAATTATTATATCTCCATCAAAACAGTCACACGACACAAATATAGTTGTATAGTGCGTTCTACGCGAGACCCGTTTCCAACTCCGGACGTGTTCCTTACCGAGGCCCACCTGCTCGACCCCTCTTCCTTTATGTAGAAGATAGAAAGGTGATCCCCGCATTTATCTCAAGGAGTATGAACTTCACAATATGGCACACACATATCCCACTTCACCCCTCTTGACCAGTTCTTTCCTCACAACGCCGCGCACCGGCTATCGAACGATATTTTGTTGCCGAGAAGAAAACGGGATCTTGCCAACTCCGCACCAAATAAAGGGTGGGTAGCGGACCTCGCTCCTGCCGGCGTGTACGAGCAACGGCAGGTAGCAGAGTTCCAGAGGTCCAGAGTGAGTGAAAGAGAGTGAAGGGTTGTGCGTGAGGTGAACTCGTTCTTTCATAGCCCCGTCTCTGCATTTGACCGCTTCGAACCCCACTTGCTTTATTCTGTGTATTCGCGCCATTTACTCGGTGCCACAAGCCTTTCGGTGTACTTGCAGTCTGAATGTTTGACGAAAAGTACATCAAAGGGGTTACACCGCGGGGGCATTTTTATTGTGCTGTTAGCGGCGGCTGAACTAAAATCCTTGTGCTGCGCTCCGTTTCTCTTATTCGGTTCATGACTCCGGGCCCTGGTTGTTTCTTATGATGAGACACATGGGTCAGACTGCCTTTGTCTAACCTTTAGTGATTCGGTGGTTGGTCACCCTAACATCAAGAATCGTTCGGATCGCTGTGTAGTCCTCCTGCTTCCCGACACCTCCAGGAAAAAAAAACGACCTTCGGTGATCACAGCAGCAACAAGAACCAGCGCCCGCTGGTTAAGAAACATCAATTTTGAGTTGGACTCAAAAGCCTTGCAGGGGTCTCAAAGATTAACCACAGGCCACAATGTCAAGCTACCACATGGGAAGTAGGAGCAGCGTGGTGTCGGCGGCTGGAACAATAATATATTACGAAGAGATGCTTAATTTACTTACACTACCGGACCCTCGAATCCTTGTGAAGATATGCTACTAACGAGCCGGCTTGGCCAGCACTTGCTGTAACTCTGCACAACCAAGAGGGCTCAAGTATTTGTTTACCCTTGCGAAGGGTTTTTTAACCATTGCGAAGGAACTGCGGCGGCAAGACCAAACTGCATGTAGCCCGACATGCACGCAGCGAAAACGGGTGTCCCTGGAACAAGTCTTACAACCACAACCAGTGGGAAGCTCACGTTCAACCGATTCAAAAAAAATACTAAAAAAGGAACACCGCGCCAAACAAGAAGACCTGAAGAACCTATCCTCGCACCCTGTGAAGCAAGTAAGCCCGATCTAATCAAATCAACTGCAACAAGTTACACGAGGGCGCTTGCAACAGCATGCGCGGGGCCTATGACTATCAACATTTTACACAAACAAGAGAAGCGGACCACAGGAAGTAACCACGCTATATCACCTAAGACTGTTTACCACCACGTGTGCTTACAATGTCCGTGCGCCAACCCAAACCAACCACGCCGAAAGGGTACAGTAAAATTATCACCGACAACCACGGGACGGCGACGCTTGGTACCAACAGCCAAACAATGGTCCGTGAGCCATCCTGCCTGGACATCGGGACCCACTGCCAACCCACCCTCTCTCGTGTCGGCAAGAGTGGTGTCGAGGAGCACGAAACGCGTAGAGTAACAAGCACATCACCGAACACTCGCCGCTTCTGGCTCAATCCACCATTCAATCGCATGCGACGTCCATGGAGCTCAATACACAACAAATAGTTCAACATTCATCCCCGCCTCCAACACCACCACGGCTGCAGGAGAAAAAACGTCACCAATTGAAACCCACCGACGATCACGAAGAAATTACGCTCAGCTCCAATCCAAACGAGCAACCTGCACGGCAGCTAAAAAACTCAAATGTAGTCCCGATCTCACCCCGCCCACCGTCGCCCATGCCGATCCAACTCTTTGCGTGTGAACTGTACCTGCGGCCCCTTGCCGGTTGCTCTGGCTGATGCCGACGCTGCCACCTCCGTCGCCGCTACAACTGCGGCCGAGATATCTCGGACTCATGCCGTTCGAATGAAGCTTCGTCTCTGTAGGTACCCCCGCCCTCCTCGACCGCCGCCACGGTATCGTCGCCAGCGGCTCTATCATCCTCCTTGCTCCAGCTCGTGGGGAAGGCGCCACCCCCTCTCCCCACCCCCGGGAAATGCCTTCGGTGCTTGACGGGTGTTGCCCCCTCCCTACCGTTGACGCCGCCTTCGCGGCTGTTGAACTCCACCTCTTTGTCGTCGCCAAACGCCGGGCCGGACGTCTTCCTCCCTAGCAACGGGGGGGCCTTCCTCTTGCCGAGGCGATGATGACCGGGCTTTGTTCCCGCCCCTCCTGCCGGCGACGGCGCCGAAGCCGAAGCCGTATCCGACGGCGGCGAGGCAGACGGGGCCGGGACGGACGGCGAGGAGGAGGAGGCGGGCAAGAAGTGTTCGCGGGCCGCCCCGGGCACGGCCACGTTGCCGGCTTGCGCCACGGCGGCTCCTCCTCTGGGTTGGTCGCAAAACGTCAAGGCGCACAGCGGGCCATTTAAAACAAAACGGGGGCGAATGCTGTGTTAGGTGTTTGCTTCAGGCTGGGGGAAGTCTGTGGCGAGAGGGTGTACCCAAACTGTACTCATACTGTATCCGTGCGTGCCGCAGTCGCCAGGTCGTTGGTCTCGCATCCCTGTAAGGCAGGGGCGGAGAATGCCAGGTGTTCACGGGACCAGCGACTCGCTGAATACCTCACCGACGCTTCGCGCTTGGTGATGTGCTAGCATGGTTCCAGGGGGGTATCTCAGGCGCGAAGGGCGGCAAGCCAGCCGCAGGTACAAGAGGTGTGGACAAGGGTCATTCGTGGGAACCTGATGTTGCGCTGACGGCAAAGAGGCCATAGAAAGCGACTTCGAATAGCTAGGCCTCGGTCCCGGCGATGAAGCTATTATCACTGCTGAGAAAATGAACGAAGTATGGTCACACCAGAATTCCTCCGGCGACTCGGTGGTGTTGGGTCAAGCTATGAGTCGGTCACAAGGCTGTTCTTCCCATCTTGTTGAGTGAACAGGTGACGGGGGACGAGGACCTCCGGGGCACATAGATGGGACGTGCCAGGGCGTCAAAGGCGGGGGGTTGTAAGTATGCACATGGAAATAATGAAAAGCTTTTGCACGTCGCATTCACAAGCGCGTTCGAGGCATGCTTGTCCTCAATTCCTCCAAAATCTCCCCGAAGCAGGCCCCTTGCTAGACCGGGGCCACACCGAAAAGAAGAGTACAAGAAGCCTTCGTTGTTACCGACTTGCACCCTCTCCTACACCGCAGACGACGACTTAAGCCGTAGCGCGTGCAACATGCCGTGTGACGGCCACAACGGCTCAGCGATGCGTAGCAGCGTCACGTCGACAAACCGGGGGACGCGCCGGATGAAGGGTAACCCTCGCAAGGCCCGGCCCGGCCCCACCAAAAATCGGCAGCCCCCCTGTGATTACCGAGCGAGAACGGCCCGGCGCCCAACACTCGCAAAGGGCAAAGCGAGTGGGAGAGGCCCGAGCGACCAACAACAGAGGCGGTGGCACCTTAAGTGCATCTCCTCGACGCACACGACGACGGCCACGGGGGAGAAGAGAAGAGCGTACCGGAACACGCAACCGTCGCGCGCAGCGACAAAAAAAACACGCGGCGGAAAAAACAATGGCTTCGCGTGCACGCTTTATTGTCCGCCCTTTCTTGTCCACGTTTGGATGGGATATCCCTCTGCATCAAAAGGGCAAATCTCCCCGCCGCCTGCCTGTCGAGGACAATTCCCTCTTTCCACACACACAAAACAGCAGCGCAGCATAGACGGACGGAGAAGATCAAGCACGCGCGGTCACGGACGCACCTGCACGATGCGTACAGCGCCAGCCCGGTGAGCACCAAGCAGCAGCCGACCTCTCCGATCAGCACCTTGGCGTTGCCAAAAACGCGGAATGCTAGGAGGTGCGAGAATGCCGCGCGGCCCACCGAAGAGGCCGCCTGAGACAGACCGACCGACAAGTGGCATGTTGTTGTTGTTGTTGTTGTTGTTGTTGTTGTTGTTGTTGTTGTTGTTGTTGCTGTTGTTGTTGTTGTTGCTGCTGTTGCTGTTGTTGTTGTTGTTTGTCCAACTCACCCGACGGCCTTCCGTGGTCACGGGCCAACCACCCGAAAAAAAGCAAGAAAAAGAGAGAGGTTGGGGAGACAACGAACGTGATGGCGAGGAAAGGGTGTGTGTAGGGGATAATCAAAACATGGGGGCAATCAAGGCGACAAGCGAGCTCGAGAATTCTGCCCGGGCAATGACAGATTGAATGCATTGAAAAAAAAAAAATCTCACCAATCCCCGGGCCCCCAGCCGTGCCTGCGCCTGCCACATGGTGCAAACCCCGGCAACTGCGGGAAGCAAGGTCGCCATCACCGCCAAAAGAATCGTGCTGCCATCTGAAAAATAATTGACGCCACGGAAACACGAAAAAAAAGGCACGAAAACAGAGCGACAAGCACACGGCGAAGTGTAGAGCCCTTCCACACCATTTCCAAGCACCACCGCCCGCACTAAATTCCACTCAACCACGCCCCTGCCCCAGTCCCACTGAAGCATCGAAGGAAACAAACATATTCCTGTGCTATATGCAGAACTCGGGTTAAAAGGGGGCACAGGGGATAAGTAATACGCCACAGTGGTACTGCGGGACCTCTCCTCTCCCATTATCGGTCGTTTATTTTCTCTATTCGGTTTGCACCTCTCACAACAGCTCCCCCGACGATTGTCACAAAAAAGCGACCAATGTCTTCCCTCACCTTTGAGCAAGAAGGGCTCTCCCGAAAAATCGTTCGGGTCTCCCATGCCCACGTATACCGCCACGGGCACGAGAATTACCGAGGCGTTTCTGTTGGTCACGTACGTCACTCGCCACGCCTCCCTCGGTTCTGGAACAAAACAAAAAACAACGGGGGCGATTGTCGGTTGTCCGTGCAGGTCGACAACAACAACAACAACAACAACAACAAACAACAACAGCAAGATAACACGATCCACACCCACACCCACCCGCACGAGCCAGGAGTCGGGTGTACGCGGCCGTCAGCAGGCTGGCCATGACCCCCATCGAGGTCCCGTCAGCAAAGGCCTCCGGCGTCTGCGACTGAACTCCCAGAGAGAATCCCACCACACAGAGCACGCACGGGAGCAGCAGATCCCGGGGCGGCAGCGCTCTGGATCCAACAGCTCTGAAAACAGGCCGGCAGACAGAAAGACAGACACCACACAATGGCCGGTTCATGCGGCCGATGCTAACAATCAACACCCGAACACAGCCGGAAGGCAAGCGTGATGTACGAAGAACAACCGCTGTCTGTTGCGTCACCAAACGAACACTTTCGAACGCAAACGCAGGAGCGGGGAAGATACATAGGTTGTCGGCGGCGGAGGGCTTCGCGCTGTACGACACCCCCGCCCTACTAGGTCCGAGTTCTTGGAAACTGTCCGTCGGAATGAAAATCCGTTCCGGGGGCCATTTCGGCTTCTGGCCAGCCAACGCAGCAAACTTATATCCAGAAAATTTGTGTACATACTAGCCCACAGAAGTGAAAACTCGGGGTCCTGGTTTGGCTTATCCCTGTATGCCAGCAGGGCGCACGCGCTTGGATGAATGTAGGGGAAGACATGCCAAACAGAGCCGAGGCTTTGGTGTCGCCAAGGGGGTTGGGTAACGGGAGTCGGCATCGGACGAATGCGGTCGACCGGAACCGCGCCCAAACAAAACTTTCGACAATGTCGTGGGAACAACCGTGCTCTGGATGGAGTATGTCGAGGTTCAATCATTCGGGCGACTAGACGGAAACATCTACATCACTTGCCGCGTAAACTAAAATAGAAATGCCGTGGGGTTTGCTAAAAACATGATTTGCGGAACAAATACAATACAGCCGTGGGCTCTCAAAACCACCGGGTATGTGCCCGACCAATCGACTGGCGTATGGGAAAGGAACGGCGCTATTCAATCTATAGAATGGATTGGTGATTCCGTTTGTGCCCAGCAACGCTATATAGGGCCACCGGCGTTGTTCAAAGGGCGCTGTTGAGGGCCCACTACTGTACGCTCACCCCATAACGGTGACGAACGGGAGGGTGAGGGCTCTGGCAACCTGAAAGAACGAGGCGTTGACGACCCCCAGGCAGGCGTTATCGGCGAAGACGGCCAGGGAGAAGAGCACCGAAGCCAAGCCCTTTTCTCGGCGCGTTTCAAACGAACGCACGCACGCGCGACCGACAAAAACACAGTTGGGTACAAAAGAGAAGGAAACGATCGCCGGCGTGGGCTCCCTGCCCTCTCTCGCGACATCCCACCCACCCACCCACCCGCAACGCGCGCGAGAGCTTAGCAGCGCACGAAAAACAGGCAGAATCTCGCGCAAAGCATACATACAAAAAGAGGAGTAGCTGGCCTGCGGGAAAAGCCTGAAGGACGTCGGGGGGCACCTGAACAGTTGGACCAGTACGGTTGTCAGAAGGTGCTGAGCAAAGACACGAGTGGTTTTCCAACGTGAAGAAGAAAACAGCAACAGCAACAACACATTTGCGCACCAAAAAAGCTTCTGAAGCCAGACCAAACAGGTAGCACTCACCACCGCCTCGGCACCTCCCCCAAGCAAGCTCTTGGAGTTCCACCCGCCCAAGAGAGCGTTCGGCGGCAGGGCCCGGGCCATCTCGGTCAGCAGCCCGCTTCGCCATGCCCCCTTCCTGGAGTCCTGGCGATCTCCGAGGGTTCCTAGCGACAGAACCAGCATGAAGCTCACCAGGCACTGTGTGTTGCCGTCGTCGTCACCATCCGTCCGAGAGGGGAAGCCAGGAAGAAAAAGTTGGTCATCATACAGCGTGATGGACTCATTGCTAATGTACACCGGACTCTAATATAGTTTCGGAAGCGCCGAGTTTTTCGTCTCCTCGTAAGGAAAAGAAAAGAAAAACTCGACAAAATCATGAAAAATGAATGACATGCGGCGCCAGAAAAAGAAACTGTTAAACAAACTCAAAAGCACATGTTGGGGGGTTCCGCGATCACGGAGATGCAGCGGGGCCGTTTTGTGCTTCGAAGGACTGTAGGACGCTCATTGCCCGGGGAGGAAGGCCTTCATCTCATCCGCGAGTTTGCAGAAAAATTACTTCACCTGCCGCAAGAGGGGGGGGAAAAGCGCTTCTATATGTGCAGCTTGGGCTCTGTGTGCAGCTTTCGTTCAACGCCACTTCCCCCTACCCTTCCCGCAAGCACTACCCCAAGTCTTGGATTGTTCGTGACAGCCGCCCCCACAAGAGACGCAAGCGCTCATTTCTGTTTCTACGATGAACACCCGCGTGCTTACCCGGCAAATGGGGCCTAGCGGGAACAACCGAGAGGGGTGAATTGTCCAGTGTGCGTGCGTGTACATGCGCTTGTCGAACCGATTACTGCTGTATCAGAGAGAAAGAGAACGCGAACCGCTGAATCCGGTACGAGGCGATCACCATCACCAAGAGGGAGAACACAACGGGAAAAACACACACACAAAATATGTATAACCACGACACCCACACAACGAGCGGCGAAAATACATAGCAACACGTGCCATGGACACTCTCCAAGAGAGGAAATGAAAAGAGACGGGTTTCAGCACCGAAGAAAGAAAACCATCTCATCTCAACAGAACAGCGGTGCCGAACCTGGAACCAAGTGATGAGCACGACAGTACGAAGGGTCCTGCCTGGACGCGACAGGAGGGCCTTCGTGGCGTACACGGAACAAGTGTGCGACGCCCAAAACGCCGCGACGGATAGAAACCTGGAGGCTCTCGACATCGCCCACACTATTTGGCAGGCATGGTGAAGAGAAAAACAACGTTTGACGACCAAACGCCCGGCGGCGGCACCGAAAAGAGCAACATACAAACGCGCGCACACACGACCACAGCAAAGACTTAGGAGGTGCGCTGTTTGCGCGAAGGGGGTCTGTGTAGAGGCTTGATGGCGGGAGGGGGGAGGGGTGAACACGCGTGCACTGCAGCCGTGGTCTGGAAGCCGGGAGAAATCTGTCGTCGGCTTTCGCCAACACAAACCACTTCATCGAACAAACAACAACACCGCAAAGATTGTTGGTTGCTAGAAATATCGCGCAACAGTAATCAATGTTTGACACACCAGCATTCCGGAGTGAACAACGCAAACACACGACTTTTCTCTTTTCTGGTCTGCACGTTTGCATCTGGAGCGTTTGAAATCGTTCTACTTTCAACTCCAAGACAGGGTGCGGCGGCCGCTTCCTTCCCGTGCACTCGCGACAAAATAGCTTGTGTGTCTCCTACTCTTCAACTGCAAAGAGTTTACTTGCACCCCGGAGATGTCTGAACCCAAAACCTAGAGTCAGAGAAGCCCTCTGAGGCCATCCGCTGGTAAACTCCATCCCCGGAGCGACCGGCGTCGAAATACTGATGGGTGAGACGCATGCTGCATTCATTGCAGCTGGGTGGTCATCAGATGATCGCACTCGGACGGATGCGAAAAATATTGGGATACCCACAGCACCACCACATACGAAAACCTGGAGGTAGTTGGTTCCCTTGACCCACACAGCCTCGGCGGGTTGGGCAAGGGGCGGGGCTAAAAGGGGTGGGGGGTCAACATGACTCCATACGGGTCTTTTATGTCCATCCCAGACACAACAGGACAACGCCTCTGCCTTCTAGTGGAACCGTGCAACGGGAAGGCAATCTCACTCTCGGTCGAGTTATCCCGCATTGGCGTGAACAACGCCTCTCCCTCCTCCCCAGCAGCAGCAGGAGTAAGCTCCGCCTCGGCGAACTCGTCCGCGTCCGAAAACCCTAGCACTCCCACCCCGCTCGGGCCACCACCGCTACGGCCGCCGCCGCCGCCGTCGCCGCGGACCAAATCGAGACCGCGAGGACCCGTGTAGGAGTCCGGCAACAGCAACCCGTCCGAAGATTCGAAGGAGTCCACGGAGGAGCTTTCCGGCAACAACCTTTCAACCAAAGCCCTCCTTTCCGAATGGGTCCCTCCGAGCGGCGCTTCCTGCTGTTGCCCGTCGGTGGTCGTTGGTTGCGGCGGTGGCGGCTGTCGCCTCTGGAGGGAATCTGTCCCGAACACAGAACGCTTCGCAGCGCGTGCCGCGTAGCGTTCCGGAGAACGCCGGTCCGCCGTGCTCCTCGCGGAGAACCCCCCTTCCGGCCTGATCCCTTCGCCGGCGGCGGCCACGAAAAGCCTAGGGGGCACAACAACAACCACCGCCTCCGCCACGGAACGCCTCGCGGGCAGCAACAAACCCCCGGCGCCGGCGCCGCTTCCGCTCGCGGCTAGTGGTTCGCTGCCGATTTCGTCCGGGCGCTGCTGTTGTCCGTGCTGGTCCGTGCTAAACCCGAAGCTGTCTTTCGCAACCGCTGGCCCCTTTTCCGACCCGTCTCGATGATGATCAAGGGAGGGTTCCTCCCCAGGAGGCATTGACGGTGGCTGTACGATTCCGCCCGAGACTGAACCGGTTGTACAGCTTACAGCTCCGACCAATACTCGAGTTGCCTTGGGGCTCTCGCTTTCTGTGGCACCCACAATCGACCCGCCAAGAGGGACTCTTAATCAATCGGCCGATCCAGCCCCTACCCCTCTCAGAACACGGCCGTAGCTGGTGCCCCCGGCCAAAGAACACGGTTCTCCACGAGGAGGTGGGCAACTATGCTATGTCAGCATGGCGTTACGACGGTCATGCTTTTTGAGACCACCACCGCCCTCTGCGCTACTGCTGTATCATAGCGCCGCCGACCCCCGTTTTCGAAGTAACCCCCGCTGACACTGTTTCAGGGCCAGGGCACTGCTGTCCTGCGGTTGTGGTTGATTGTTGATTGATCGCCGTCGGTGACAGCAGACATGGGGGCAAGCGGGTACACGCAAGGGGGAAAGCCGTTTGTATACTTGGTTGTACATGTAAGGTGAATATTATCGTATATCACAATCAGAGTGCTTCGACACTCGACGCTCTCTGGTGTACTGGTGTCGAATGAGCAGCGTGGAACGACGCACTGCTGTCGGCAACAACATAATGACAAAGCAACCAAGGGCAGGCGCTCGTTATCTCTGGTGTCACGACTGCACACCGACGCCTGTGAACGCCCCACATAAATAGCCGAGGAGAGAGAGAACCGGCCAACAAGAACAACACCATCTTGTCCACGCGTGTGTGACATTGCATTGCATTTCCCCGAATGTGTGCGTGCATCAATGCCGGAGAGAGGGAACTTGGGCCTGTTTCACCAGGTAGTGTAGTAGAGGGAAATACCTTGGTGCCTCGAGCCAGAAGACAAAGCCACAATCGCACGTACCCCAGCAGAGTAAGCACCAGAGCACCAGAGCACAGAGCACGGCGAAGGTTGCCTGCTGGTCGTTGGAATGAATGACCCGCCCGGCCGTCCCCCCCCGGTGAACGTCTCACACACGGAGCCCCGTTCTCCGATCTTGACAGTGAGTGCTGCCATCGACTCGCACAACATCTGCACACTCTATCTCACAGCTGCAAACTGCCCAGGCACAAACGCACAAGCTCGATGTCTGCCTTGGCTAGAGCGGTTCCTCGGCTCTCCACGCTTCGTTTTCCCGCCTTTGCGACAGGCCTTGCTCCGTACAGCAACAACAGCCGCGGTGCTCGGACCTCCGCTACAGCTGAAGCAGCAGTTGCTGCCATGTCCACGCGGGCGCCGTGCCTCAACTCTAAGGGAGAACCGGTGAGAGCACAGACAAGGACCGCAAGCGTAGAGACTCATCGGCAGTTTGTGCTCGAGCGCGGGAGCAGCGCAAAACGTGGAGCCTGGCACACCTTGTGCCGCACACCATCTCATCTCATCAACAACACAATGCGTTGTTCATTACCGTCCCGCACACTTGAACGGCACGCACATGTTTTCCCGGTACGTGCGAGACCCCCGCACACCCGCGGCTGATGTTAGCTTAAACGCAACAGCAGTAGCCCAGGTATCCTGCAGGCACTGCTGAGGATTTTCTCCGAGTGGTCTGCCTGAATCTCGAAAATCTCTCCTTGTTTGGAGAGCAGAGAGTTGATCCTTCCGCGGTGGTTCTTTACGGTACTGCTGTTGTAGCGTGCGATCTCTCCGACCTCTGGTATTATTCCGAGGAGAATCTACAGCAGTCGCCTTGTCGTTGTGCCGCGAGAGTGAGCGGGCTGCTGCTCTTTTGGGCGGGTAGACAACGCACCACGCTGAGGCGCATCATGCTGACGCCGCGCGCGCACCGCATGTGCTCGGACACTTGTTCAGAGTGTCGTCGATGGCGTTAGAGCACCGCCATGCAGTAAGTACCCTGTCACGTCCTTATTTGCTGTAGCATGTACTTCCACCCGGTGAATCTCGGGGAGATATAGCACAAGCACATACGAATCGATGCGACGAAACGCCTGTTTGCGGCAGCACAAGTCAGCCGTCTGGACGCGTAGAGGGTCGTGAGGGGTGCCAACGGAGAGCAATGCCTTCTTTGGAACTGTATCGTTGCACAGACCTCTCCTCGCCAATTCTCCGTGTGCAGTGCGGCGTGTTTCGGCCGTGAACGTGCCGAGCGGTAGACGGTCAACAGGTCGAGACTCGGTGAACACCTCTTGAGCATTAATCCCATTCATTGTCACGTGATCATGCGTCTATACACCGTCGTGGATGAACTGAAGACATGCCCCGCCCCCCCCCCCCTGAAAGCCATCACCCCAGGAAGAACTTGCGTGCCCATTCGAGCGAGGGCATGCGTTCAAGCCAAGAAAACGGGTCGTTCGGGGGGATACTCTCGGCGACGCGCTCCGCGCTTTCCAGTCTTGTCAACAAGCATCAGCATTTTCCCTGGATTTTGCTCTTATTTCCGGCTCAAGGGCGCATCGATCTCATCTTCGCAAGCGCGCTTGGGGATACCCCAAAGGTACCACGACTTACCTCCTCCCTTGTGGCCCGCCATCCCCCCCCCCCCCCCCNNGGGCCCCCCCCCCCCCCCCCCCCCCAGGAAATCACGCTGGAGAGAAGGGGCGAGGCGGGGAGTGTGGCGTGGTTGACCCTTAACAAACCTGAGAAGCTGAACGCGCTGAGCTTGAGCATGGTCCGGGGAATGTCGGCAGCTATCGAAGAGCATTGGTCGGTGAGGAAAAAGGCGCCAACAAGAACAGAACGATATCTTTGAGCGTCGAACTCATCGCAACCCCGAGGCTGCTGCTGGTTGCTTCTGTGCTTTTGTTTGTGTAACCGTCGGTTACGATGATGGTGGCCCTCCCCAACAAGGTGTTGAGGCAGGATCCTTCGAGTCGGGAAGCCGTTTCCCAGCGGCGGGACGATTTCCATCAGAATGTGTCTCGCTCCTCTTGCAAGTAGTCGTTCGTCGGAGGCTTGGCGCGCGGTAGGACAACAGTCAGTCGGGGGGTTTCGGCCCAGGTATTTCCCGGTGCCCCTCTGAACAAACAGCCTGGTCAATGAGGCCCCAGAGACACCAGAGAGACGACCGCCTTCGTGTGTGAGAAAACAGAACCCACGGCTTTTTTCACCCCTCGTTCGCGACATGCTACAACCAAGGATACGGTTAACGTTTTGAGTTGCGAACTCGCTTTCCGTGTGAGTACGCCGTTTATAGGATTAACTCGAGAAGGTGGTTAATGGTGCCCGGCGCCAAGTGATTTTTCTTTTGGTACCTTTGAACTCTTGGCCTTGGTTTCGCTGCTTTTGTCGTTGCTGTGGGGAAGGCACGCAGCATCGTGTTGGCGCGCGAACGTTTCGGCAACCGTGTGTGTGTTTGCCGGCAGAACAATACACTCGTAGTGGTTCCGCTCGTGTCGCTTTCTGATGCAATGGTATGTACGGTAGGCGGACCAAGTACCGAAGCTGCTGGTTCTGCGAGGATCTGGAGGAAAGGCGTTTTGCGCGGGCGGGGACGTCAAGGCTGTCGCTCAATCGTGAGTTTTTTTCACCCGTGTGCTGGCATCATGATGACTCATGCTGCTTGCCTTGACAATGGTGGTGAATCCACGTGGTCTCCTGTACATCCGACACCCCGTGCAATGGTGTAGAGTGTGGACCTTGGTCAATGATGAAAGGAGGCTGAGTGCTTGTTGAGGCTTCATCTGAATCAACCAGCAGTGGCTTTAACAAGGACGGCGGTAGCAAGAAACTGGGGCGGGCATACTCCTTTTTCAAGTCGCAGGGTGGCGCCGCTGAGCTGCGAAAAATGTCAACACGAGAAACAAGAAACATTACATGAAGCTGCCGCTGTTCGCGCCCTCTCGTCTGCGCCGGGTACATGAGAACTCTTCGAAGCAGCAAGCGAGCTTCCAGCCCGCTTCCGTGGTTGCTTGGCACGTGCCCCGTCCGCCTTGTGCATTCGAGCGCATGTATGTGTGTACGTGCTGGTCTCACCTTGGCGCCGCTTGGCGTAGTGCCCTTGCTCCTATCACACTGCAGTACAAAGCACCTGTTTTTTGTTCGTGCACTTTAGTTTTTTTGGCTTTTGTTTTGTTGTTTTCGCTTGCGCCCTTGGGATCAGGGAGCGGCCTGGCCTCGGGGTATCCGGCACGTTGAGGCGCGACTTCTTTCGCGAGGAGTACATGCTGGACTACCGCCTCGCGGAGATCGCTAAAGAACAGGTGATATGCGATAGATACGATTTGCGTGTTACCAGTTTTTTNGGCACGTTGAGGCGCGACTTCTTTCGCGAGGAGTACATGCTGGACTACCGCCTCGCGGAGATCGCTAAAGAACAGGTGATATGCGATAGATACGATTTGCGTGTTACCAGTTTTTTTTTTTGGGGGGGGGGTGTTTTGATCCATCCTGGTGGTTTGACATTGCCAGAGTTTAGGTGTTGACAAGAGGGGGAGGGATGTTTTGGCGGGTGGTCTGACGCTGGCTTGCGCTCTGTCGGTCCCTCCCGTCTCTCCGCATTTCATGCCGCCCCCCTCCCTCTCACCACCCCCGTGTGCCCTCCATTCCTGCTACTACACACTGGATGGCAACCACCCTATTCTTGGGGGCATTTGTCAACCCCCGTCGGCCCCTAACGAACTGTTCTTGCTGTCCGGAATAGGCGCTGCTGTCCGTGTGGGATGGCGTGGTGATGGGCGGGGGCGTCGGAATATCGGTCCACGGAACGTTCCGCGTGGCGACAGAGACGTCGCTGTTCGCCATGCCCGAGACAGGTGACCAGGACGAAACGCAGCCGCTTGATCTGAACAAGTGGTTCGATAGCAGCAGTTACGGAAGCTGGTTTGTAGGTCTGGAGTCACTGCCGGTTCATGGCGTCCTCCGCGAAACCGTGGCCGGAGTGAGGGGTGGCAGGGGTCCACACCTCTCGGACCAGCATCACGTTTGTAGGCGGCGTGTTTTGTTCACTGGTAGTACGACACACGTTGTTTTGTGTCAACGTCCCGCCAATCTGACGGCGCGATACCCCTGTCTCTATCATCATGCAACCACGGTGCCCCCTCGGAAGAGGCTGTACGTTACAAGCGCGTCTATGGCCGCAAACACGCGCCGGAGTTCACCTCGATCGAGTGCGAAACTCGTTGCTGAGATCAAGGTGGCGTGTCACGCATCTCACCCTGACGCCGCTCGGGTCGCTTCTCGCGTACGCGATGGTGCAGCCTGCTCGTCACGGCGGAGGGAAACCCCACGCACGCCGTCCCGGCTTGGCAGAGAGGTGTGCGCCTGTAGTGGAAAACACACACACGCTCCCTCCTCCGCGGTGGCAGCTGCTGGCCGTGAATAGTTCATGTTCTTCCCCCCCTTCTCCTCCCTCATCGGTTCTTTCCGCTACCCCCGTCTTTGGCGGGGCCCCGGAACAATTGCGGAACAATCGAGCTGCACGATATGTTGATGCTTCACGGCAAAACCACCACCACACACACACATCCACCCTCACATTTTTTTATGACGGCACCTGGTATTTATTGTTAGAACACCCCAGAAGATGCCGAGTAGAGACCGGAACGGTTTTGATGTGAACGACGATAACAATAACAATAACAAGCAATCCCCCCCTTCCCGTCTGCCCCCTCTTCCTTGATGCCGCCGGCGAAATCTGTCTCAACTACCCGAGACCAGTGATCGGACTATTCCCCGACGTAGGCACGGCGCACGTTCTCTCCAGGCTGCCTGGGGGGCTGGGGCAGTACCTGGGCTTGACGGGTGCAAGGCTCCGGGGAAACGACCTGTTGCATTGCGGCCTCGCCACTCACCTCGTGCCTAGAGACGGGTAGGCGGCGTTGAGGCGGGCATTTTGTTTTCCGTGTCCACGTTGTTGATTGATACCGTTGTACCTTTTTTTGTTTACCGCCGTGGTGGTGGTGATGTACGCTGTTGTGCAAGGTTGCAGACAGGGTTTTGAGGGGAACGCCGACCGTTGCCGTTTTTACTTCCGAGCCTCCTTGTCTTCTTCGGACTGGACGCACCTGATGGCGCTTTGTGTGCCTGGCGTTGGACTGCGATGCATGTTTTTCGCACGTTGAAGCTAGTGGGGAGTGACACATAGGCATGCAAGGCTGACGTGACTTGCTGTGACCTTGGGCGAAGACGATCACACTGCCGCCGCCGGTCTCGCTCCTGTTTGAGACGCTGGCGATCCAACCACGGCGCTCTTTTTGAGCGGCCGAGCTCGTTTTCGTTGGTTTCGAGGGGTCGGGGGGAGGGCCGAGGGGGTAGTCCAAGCACCCCTCGCAACCTTATCGGCCCAAACGCCGGCCATTCGATGGACCAGAACGGCAATGGACGGTGTGCAACAGCCCCACGAATAATCATGTCGAAGCGTGGAAGCGAGCAAGCATCAGAACCCCCCTTCGCGTCTGTTGTGCACAACATTCTAGCAGCATTTGTTTTTACTTGGGTTCCGTTCGTGTTCGCCAACGCCCCCTGCAAGCACTAGCTCACCCTCGTCTTGCCGTTCTAGGTATTTGATATTCAGCAGCAGCGCTTACAACGCTTGCGCATCGCATCGGTGGTCGTTGTTCCGTTCAGCCCCCCCCCCCCCGTATTATCGGATTCTTCTATCGGCGGAGCGCAGGCTGTCGGAGTTAGAAGAGGCCCTTGCAGTAGACGGAGGGCACGACCCCGCGTCGGTGCTTGGGCGGTTCGCCTCAGGGGCGGGCGATCCGACTCCCTCTATGCTGGCGCAGGCAAGGCCCCACCATAAGCAGCACGTGGCGGCCGCAGCTGTTGTTGTGCCCCTGCTTTGCGTTCCTTGGTGTTGCTCGTCACTTTGCATTTGCCTCGAGGGGTTTATTGTAGGTTTTTGCATGCGGCTGTTGCTGCTGATGCGGTACCAGCACCACTGGTGCTCCTTCGTGCATCCATGAGTGAGTGTTCATGCAGCGCCCGTAGGTCGATCCACCTTGCGGGCTCAAGTACTTGTTGCATTGAAGCGGAAACGTTCGCTTGCTGCAGGTTTTGCTCCTGGGGCATCTTGAGAACAAAACACAGCAGTCAGGCTGTCTTGTCAGAGAAAGTGTCGGCAACCTAGACACAGGATGAGCCCCTTTGGCGCATCCAACACCAGTTGTACACCAACCCCGTAGTCTACTGCGGTTTCAGGTAATGCTTTGTTTATTCCAACTGGAGTAACACCATGTATCTTGTGCCTGATTGGCGCCGAAACGTGGCCCTTGGGGCCCCGCGGATGGTTCTACAGTACTAGCGACGAGACAAACCGCAGAACCACGGCAGCGCGGCATGTCTGGAAGGTTACCTCCCTACCCACAGAAACAGGTCCGACTCCGGTTGCTGACTAGTATTGTCAACTTTGCCGCGGCTGCGAGTGATCTGCTTTGTGTTCCGTCCCTTCTATCTTTTCACGGCCCTCTTAGATGTACAACGCGCTGGGCAGCGGCGCCCATAATTGTAGGCGCTCCGTCGTCTGTGTTACTTGATCTGCTTTGTTTCCATCTCAATACAACGCATCTGGTGACTCACCCCTTCCACCCCGCCACTTCCCACGTCGAGCGCAGAACAAGCGCTGGATCGACGAAGCGTTCGGCGGAGCCCCCTCCGTCGAGGAAATCGTGCTGCGCCTGAGGGGGATGGTCGCCGAGGCTTCCGGCGGCCGGGAGTGGGCGCAGGGCGCGCTGGAAAGCCTCGCGAAGGCCTCCCCCACCGCTCTCAAGGTGCGATTGTTAGAATGTAGCCTTAGCTTTGGTCTGGAAAGCAATTTCGCTTGGTCGTATCTGGCAATGGAAGAGCTTGTAGAGACTCACAGAGTGCTGAAAAGTAGGTGTGTCGACCAGAAAATATGGCTTGAACTGGCCTTTAGTTGACCAAAAGGTAAGGGAAAAAGCAGGGAGAGTCCTGAGACTCGCAAGAGTCCCGAAAAGCGTTGTACACCGACTTGCCGTTTGTCCTCCTCCCCCGGGTCAAAGGCACGTACTCCGCCGCTTTTGTCCAGCATTTGTTTTCGCCTTGGGCGTGAGCGTTACAACCTGTTCGGCCTCACAATGCGTAGACTCTGTAGCACAAGGATTTTATCATGTCTTTCCGCCCGAAACGGTAGGTGCTTACGACGTGCTGCTATACTGTGCGCCTGACGGCATGTTCAAGCGTTCCATGTTGCCGACTTTCTTCCAACGAATACATCGTTCGGGGGGCTCGTTCTTGACCCCCTGTGTCTGTGTGGACCCCCCACCCCGCGTGTACCTCGCTTGTAACTGCCGTTTTGCCTCGCCGCCAGGTGACTCACCGGCATATCTCGTGGGCAGCCACGACCACCCTGAAGGACTGCCTAGAACAGGACTTCCGCGTCATGAAGGTGGGATTTATATGCCGAGGGACTGTTTGGTACTGCCTGTTGAGCAGGCCAGCCTTCTAGTATACCATATATCACCATCGCCTTGGTGCTTCTCCTGGCCGCTCTTGGGGGGCCACACATTGGCCTGACGTTTCTACAGGCAGGCTTGGCATTTCAACGAAAACTTGCGGGTGATTATTATGAAATTCGAAGGGTGTATATTGTGACTCGGCACAGAGCTCGCTTCCGGGGGCACACCGAATGAGACTTGAGACAGCGTGTGGGTCTCTCGGCCATCGGTTCTTCCCCCATATCCCTCCCAACCTCCGTGTTTGTCGAGCATCTCACCGGTGGTGTAAGATGTTCCTTTGTTTTCTCTCTATTCCCTCGCTCTCGAGAGTGAGAGAGAGAGCGAGAGAGAGAGAGAGAGGTGGAGTCTCGAGACTGGGTCTTGGCTCAGTTGGACTTCAGCTTAAAGTACAATGATGGTCGCAATACGTTCGAGTAACACGACAGCACGTGTTTCGAATGAGAAGTTGCACGTGAAATACGTTCACATGGTGGACAGTGTTCACAGGGTTCTCTCTCTTCCTTCACGGGGGTGTTTTAGACTAGGGACCGGGTGCATGGTAAAGAAGTCTCAGGTACGTGACCGCCTCCTTGAAAAATCGCAACTGCTGCCTCTTCGTCGAAGCTTGCGGCTTAACCACCGACGCTTCGAAAACCCTGTAGAGCAGATGAGGGATCGTCCGACCGCTATGGATTCCGGTCCATTTTGACTCGAATGGTTATGTTAAAGCTAGCATCGCGATCAGTACGGAATATCACGTATTCGGATTCAGTCACGGTACATCATGGAATAATAGGGTATCCACCCACACAGGCTGCCATATCATTGGCGCAAACGGTCGGTCGTTCTGTGCTCCTCTTCATATTTTCTTACCGACTTGTAGAAGATCACTCTTTCTCTCTCTTATTCTGCACAGAAACACGAATCAATCGCACACACAAGGCCCGCTATGGATGATGGGGACGATGGGCAGTGAACGAGGTGAACGCTTCCATCGACGCCTCTTGCCACCTCCCCTCCCCCTTCCCGCTCTCTCGCTGCTGCCGTCCAGCACATGGCGATGAACGGGGATTTCGACGAAGGCGTGCGGGCTCTGCTCATCGACAAGGACAACCAACCGGCGTGGTCACCGCCCACCCTGGAAGGAGTCGCCGACTCAAGAGTACAGGAGCTGTTTTCGGAGATCGAGGCCGGCGAAACCGTTTTCTGATTGCTGCGTGAACAGCGTTCATGCGGTTTGCCTGCACGGAGTTTTTGTAAAATTGCACCGGAAAGGGTTGAGGTTGCTGGCACGTGTGAGGGAGCTCGGAAGGTCGGTTGAGGTTCAACCTCCTCCGCACACACGCGCACACACCCTTGACGAAGTATTAGTGGAGTGACGATCGTGTAAGTAGTGTCTTTATTTGTTTATTTGTTGAGGTCGGGAGAGACGAGCGTGACAGATGCGACGTGGAACGCGAACGTACGCTACGTGAATCAGAGTGACGAAACGTTGTCGCTTACCACACTCAACTCGTGCCGTGTTAGTCGCTATAGTCTGAGTGTCTTGTTTTGCTGGTGGTACTGTAGTGCAGTCTGGCCCTCTTTCGTAAGGTTTTGCCACGCGCGCCCCGGGAGGTGTTTGTTTGTGTGTTTGTTTGGTGCCTTCTCACGCCGCGGTTGAAGGAGAAAGTGTTCTGTTCCATCATCAGCAAGGCGCTACTGCCAGATCTCGGGTTGTGCAAAGGGGTGCATCCGTTAGCAGGTTGCGTGCCGGTTAAGGGTTTTGCCCAAAACCTTGCGCACTAGACCATGCACGTCTCTAGCTAGATCTGAAAACTTACACCTTGGTCGATTCATCACCCCCGCACGCGTTGGTGAGTTGTACAGGCTGTTTTGGGATGAAAATATACCACCTCGGCGGGAATGGGACACGCTCTTACGAAAGCGATGCTAGTTGGTCGACACAAAGAATGACATATGTTGGGCTGACGTTGACAGAAGCACGCAAGCTGAGGCAAATCGCATCATCACTTGAATTAATGTGTAGGGCTTCGTTACAGATGGCTTCGCGTGACCTTCTTTGCTTCGTAGATATATCCACACATTCGAAGAACACGAGACAAACAAACGATCGGACATCAGAAAAAGGCAAACAATCTGGAAGGATCGTGGACGGGAAATACAGTAATCGTAACGCCTTCCACGATCCATTCACCATTCCTGCTTCATTCCGCGCACGGCTCTATCGCCTGTATCTCCCCTATCATATCCGCGATGGAGAGACATCCTATGCACGCACGCGCAATGCAAAAATGTCTGTATGAATGGCGCTAGACCGCGCCGTCAAGACAACCAATTCCCTAGCAACATCATAATAAGCCTCAAACGGTCGCCGCCATATAGACTGGTCTTGCATGTATTGCTGTAGACTAGACTATATACATAGACTAGACTTTTATTCTCTCCATCCATCCACTACTGTTTGCCGTAGAATCCTGCTTGCACTGCTTGTTCTCCTTCTATCAAAACTGGTTGTATCTGTCTGGCTGGTTCAATCGATTGTTTCTCCTTTGTCCGAGCTCCCCCGAGCTAAGTTTTGCATATAGACTACAACAGCTAAGTTTCTATGGCCGGCGTGACGATGGGAAAAAAACTCCTGACAAGGTTTCGTTCCCTTAGGATGGTTGATTGACTATAGAAACAAGCGAAGCGTCAAGCGTTACGGCGTTGATCCGCAATCAAATAATTTCTTCATTCATTGTTACCCCGCTGCTGGCGACACTTCTGATGCATGATGGACGAGAAGGTTTAGGTTTTCTACCCTTGGGCTGGAGTGGGAACGCTCCTTCCTGTGCTCAGTCTACAGCAAGGCAGCTGTCTTGTGGAATCTGCGCGTTGCATGTTGAGTCTTCCTCTCCGACCCGAAGGATCAGAGTGCTTTGTGGAACTGCTTGCTGCTGTCTGTGTCAGTGGCTGGTGGATATTTCCATGTTTGATCGGCCACTATTTTTGTCCCCCGGTCCCCAAAATACGGATGGAGGCTTTACCCCGCGCACCCCTGTGCGCTAGTCAGTCACCCGGGCAGAGAGGGAGAGAGACAGGTGAGGGAGAGGAGTGCGTGCGCCGCTAAGCCTTGGTGAGAGGGTAGAGAGCGAGCTCAGAGGGGGGGCTGGTGGTGCGCCCCAGAGCGCGCACTTGAGAGGACAGACAATGTAGGTGCGCGTTCTTTTCCACACAGCTACAGCAGTAGCTGCGGCTGAAGCTGTGGCAAGCTGCGCTCATGTTCAGATTTTCGAAATGTTCGCAGACCGCACAACGCCCGTCGTGTGTATGTTGTATAATAGTCAGAGGTATGCATAGCAAGGTAGGAGACGCTGGATGCGTGTCCCTTCTGCCAAGATTTGCACACCGAGTGGGCCGCACCGCCTGCTGTGCCTGAGCCGCCCGCTGGAATTTAATGTTGTTGTGCACTGGTTGGGTAAATGTGAGAATCAAAGAACAATATTTTCGATTTCGAAAAGCATGCTTCCGTGAGCGTGGGAGCATGGGCCGCGAGAGAACAAGCGACGACGCGGACTGACCAACCCAAGCACCCACAGCCCGATTCGTAACTCAAACGGACCGGACGATCCGACACATATGGTCCAGCAATCAAGCAGCAGCCCCCTGGGCGATCCAAGCCCGACCCTAAAGCACTTGCCAAAAGAACGAAACAAGGTGTCCACCAATTCCGACTTTCCTACAAAGCATTACCACACCGCAGCAAACCAAACAAGCAACATCAACCGAAACCAACCGGCCACGGAGATGGCCCAACAATTGTTTTCCGGCCTCCAGGCTGCTAAACTAACCCTGCTGATCCAACGGGATGGCTGTCCGATGCGGTGTAACACACACGGGCCCGACCCCTTGCCCGCCGGCCCAACACGGACTGTCAACACGGGCTGTCAACATGGGCAAATGCGGGCAAATGAACAACGCCCAACTGCGCATTGCATACCAAAACTCCGGACGAACGTCCCGAACAAGCCACAACCCCACAGCCTTTATTAACAACGAGCACGTTGAACCAACGTGCAGAACTGGGAGCAAAAATTCCAAGGTTCCCAAGGCCGTGCAGAAACCAAGCGACGTGTTTGCATAGGTCACCACACACGCACACAATAGTCTACGTGAAGCACAGCGCTGGAAGAGAAAAAACGGCCGATTGCAGTTGGAGGGGTTTTGCGTCGCATCATCAGCGGCAGCTTCTGCCGCCAGTACAAGGGAAGGATTTCTAACATCTTCGAAACAGCAAACCAGTTCGGAGGTGGTGTTCCAGGAGGAGTTGAGATAGCGGCTTCCACAGCAGCCCTCAGCCACCAGCAAGGCAGCACCATTCTTTCCTTTGATGGAAAAAATGCTTACAACAGCATGCGCAGAGCTTCCATCTTACCGGCAGTGGCCACTCATATGCCACACTTGGTGAAGTACTTCGGGAACATCTACGCTCGAACCAAGGCGAAACTTCTGTTCAAAATGGAAGATGGTTCGATCGAGGTTGTTCTTTCACAGCGCGGAGTTCAACAAGGCTGCAATTTGGGAGGGTTTGGCTTCTGTGTAGGACTTCTTGATATCATGAAAGAGTTCAACAACAAGCCACCAGTGCCAGGAGTGAAACTCATCGGATACGTCGACGACCTCCAAGCACATCTTCCACCAGGTTTGGCTAGGAACATGCAGGCCATATCCACTGTAACGAATTGGATTCAGGAACGTCTCTCCCAAAAAGGGTTTGAGCTCATTCTCCCGAAATCCAAAGTGCTTTTCCCGGAGAGTCTTTGCATGCCCTCTTTGACAAACGACGAACAGCAACAGTTGGCGCAAATGGGTCTGTCAGTTGCTGAAGGTGGCATGCCAGTAATCGGAATCCCAGTAGGGACAGAAGAGTTCCAGAGGAGTTTCGTGTCCAAATTCGTCCGTGGTGACCCGGCAGAATTGATACTCCGCCTATTAGTAACGCTTGACGACCCTCAAGCCAGCTATCAACTACTGCGTTTATCTGGTGTGCCACGTTTGTTTCATATGCTGAGGATGATTGCACCGTCTATCACCAACTCTGCCGCAAAAATACATGACAACATGATGATGTGGGCAATGAGTAAGATCGTCCTTGGCAAGATGGCCGACAGCATGAGAATACCAACGGTCAAAGAGGTACGCGCAGACCCAACGAAGAGCGAGGAGGTAGATTTCTTCAAAGGGACAGCTCGGGCAGAGGTGCACCTACCCATGCGTGAAGGAGGACTAGGAATCACGAGCGATGTTCTCATTCGAGCATCGGCTTTTGTGGCAGGGCAAGCGCTGGTGTTCCCCAAGTCAGTGCAAGCATCGACAGGATACAAAGTTGAGCAATGTCTACCCCGGCTTGCCCAGCTACCGACAGGATTGGCTCTGATTGTTTCACTCAAGAAGCTAGAGGAGATCATCACCAAGGACAAGCTTGAAAAAGCTGTTGGGCAGTCATGGGCAAAGCTTGCCACAAGTGATGAGTTAATCCCCCGCCCTCACAGGAGTTTACCTGCTGGAAGCAGGGAAGGCGGGAAAACCCAGTGAAGATGGGAACCCTGGCGTNGTTAACCCCCGCCCTCAAAGGAGTTTACTTGTTGGAAGCAGGGAAGGCGGGAAAACCCCGTGAAGATGGAAACCCTGACGTAGAACATCAACCACCGTCTACCTTCAGCCGAAATGAATTTGGTCAACACTACCAAGTCTTTGAAGCCCAAGCTCTCCTTTCGAAACCTTTTCATGCAGCAGTGCGTCAGATGGTGGAGACAGACTTGCAGAAAGTAGTAGGCGAGGAAACGCCAAAGAAGAGGGCGTTGATCCGCTTGGAGGAAGCGAAAGGCAAGGGAGTTTTGTCGTGATTGACAACGCAAGGGCTGTCAGCAGATGAAAGAATGCTGCCTGATCTATATCGAGAGTCAACCAGTCGTGTACTGGGGACTCACGATCGAGCAGACTGCGATACAGGCAAAATTTGTGGTGCAGATGCATTGTTACCATGCAAGGACCGCTTGAGCCGAGCCCACTCCCTCGTCTGCACCAAGACCGGCGCCTCAACCTTCCTCCATAACAGGATGGTTCGCGTAGTCCTCAAGACACTGCGTGAGTGCCAGATGCCCATCGACGTTGAGGATTCTTCCCCTTTTACAACAGGCACTGGTAGGGGAAAGGGGCTATACAAGATGGATTTGGTGATCCCCCCAGGATTACACGCAGGAGAGAACGGAGAGGAACTCTGCACCAAGTCCATTCTTATAGACGTAACAATCGTCAACCCATCCGCAGGTCGAAGCATCGACAAGTCGATGCAAAAGCCAGGATCCGCCGTCGAAGATCGAGCCGCAAGTAAGGCAATCCACTATGCGGGAACTTTCAACCCGACTAGATCTACCCTCCTTACTGCTGCTTTTTCAACGAAAGCTGGTCTTGGCAAAGCCACCAATCAACTCATCGTTGCTATCGCCACTTGGCGCACGAACCTTTTTGCCGGGAAATTTTGACGACGAAAGAGCGTTAGTCCGCTTAAAAGCTTTCTTACTTACAGGATTCGGAGACGGTTTACCTTCGAGCGAGCTCGTTTTCTGTCGATGCGGACTCGCGATGTGTTCAAACGTCATGGGCTACTGATCGACCAACTTCCACCAGGGCCAATCGGTTGGGATCTCTGCGACAACGATAGTAGTGAGGGTAATTCTTTTGGGAGTGACGAAGACGAAGGAAAGAGGAAGGGAAGAAAGGAGGACGAAGACGACGATGTGGGAGGGAAACATGGAGGAGTAGAAGAGAGCGAAGCGTTTGAGCCAGATGACCTTCCCCAAAAGAAAAACTTAAGACTAGGGAAGAACTACCCAGAGATTCTTGTCAAAATGAGGATCAGAATGATGGTAGCGAAAATGAGGAGGATAATGCTAAACGAACTCGAGTACAAGGTAGTAGCCTTGGTAGACACGTGCAGTTTTCTTCTGTTGCTGCTCTTTCTGTCTTTGGTCCGAAGGATAGTTTAGCCTCCCCCATGCTGCCCCCTCACAGGGTCCCAGTTCATGGCAGATAGAAGTGTTTTGTGTTTTCAACCGCACTGAGACTGACGACTTTTCATTGGTCAGCCGGTTAGCGCGTTCGATTTTAATATTAAAAAACACACACACACACACTCACATCCGGTGGACCGGGTGGTCTAGTGGGTAGCCTCGCGGCCTGGTGAGGGCCGAATCATGGGTTCGAGTCCCGACAGGATGAGTTTTTCCTCTCGCTATTCAAATCCTGGTCTCCGTTGGAAGCGACGAGCTGCAGAGCTTGTTGTTAGTAAACTTGATCGACTTCATCAGTCGCGAGGGAAGGGATTGCTGTACCCTTCTCGCGATGAAAATATCTCAGGCAGGAACTGCAGGAGGAACCCAATCCCCCCCTCCAATGTGACCTCGGTTGGGTCGTCTAGCTGGTAGAAGTGGAGGATAGGGGCCAGAGGGGCAGACGACAGAGTCCAACGATGGGAGACAACAAACAAAAACAACAAAAAACAAAACATAGGTCCAAGTTCATGGCAGATACAAGTGTATTGTGTTTTCAACCGCACTGAGATTGACGTCTTTTCATTGGTCAGCCGGTTGGCGCGGTCGATGCTAATAATAAAAACACACGCACACACGGCAGGGACGGGCCAACTCCCCCCCCTACCAACCTTTCGACTGTGGATAAATCTCGAATGGGTGCAGTCCTTCTGTGCTTGTATTGATGTTTCCTAAAGAGACCCCGGCCCACTTGCCGCCGCTCCGGAACCCCTATTACTTGGTGATCACGCATAGAATCAGCAGCTTGTCGGGTTCGGCCGTGGGGCGTGCGTGAAGCTTGGATGGATTAAATACGTCTGGTTGTGTATTGCTGTAGTACGCATATTTGCACGGTACAGCTAGCAGCTGTACTACATATTTTGCTGGTACAGCATTGCGGTATGTATTTGAATGTCATGCACAGCAAGTACTGAACGGGTCGGCCCTGTAACGAACGGAGACACTTAAAAAGACAAGGTGTGGTGAGTGAGCTACTGTAGTTGATCGCGAGCATGCATGTATGAACACGTCTGCCAAGGCGTATAGTACATGGCGTTGACAACGCCCTGTCAGCGGTGACAACACCCCCCGCGATACACAGTAGTATAGCGGGGGAAGGAGGTGGCGATGGGAATTTTTACCTGACCCGCGCGCAGCGAATGTCCAACGAATCACACCACCCGTCACCGGAGGTCGCTCTCTCTCTCTCTGTGAATCGGTTCGCAGTAGAGAAACATAGTCGTGACACAGCAATGGATACAGAGAACAGGGAGATGCGGAGATATCCTTTCCGGCAGACGTTGGGGAGATTGCACTCGTGATAATGGGGGCCTCCAACAGAGCCAGCCTCCACAGAGGCCACTTAACTCTCAAGATATGCAATGATTGTGGTGCGTTGCCCCCCCCCCCCCCCCCCCCCCCCCCCCCCCCCCCC